CTCGGGAGCTGTCCGCTGTCACGAAAATAAATTAAAATGGTTCACACTACATGTGTGGTAAGAAACTGTGGGTCATCCTCATTTAAAAATTAGGAATTAGTGTGGTTTTACAGTGACGCTTCGCCAGCGCGGATGGTAAGCGCGGCCCATATTGATTGAATTTTGATTTATTATTTTATATTGATGAGAATTCTTGCATTTATTATTTTATATTACATATGGAAAAAAGGCAACAACGACAGCGTATACAAATATATCCTTACAATACCTCTAGACTGCTGAGAAGCGCGTTCTCTACAACGTTTACTGTTAAAACGCGCGGCGGGCAATCCGCGCGTGTTGGTTAAACCATGTAACGATCCAAGAGACGCAACGTTCGTGGCCCGCGACGCTTACTTGGCGAAAGCGTCACTGTAAAACCACACTTAATGTTTCATCATGTGGAAACTGAATGTGGAAGCACAAGAATTTGTTTAATCGTGAAATAAAATAAAATCAGTTTTTTTATTTTTTATTACTTCTTCTAATAACCCTAGCAATTTATTGTTTATATCGGCTTTTCCGGCAACGTTAAACACGATGACTGACTGCATGTTCTATTGCTGTGGTAATAGTCTTAATAAAAATGAATTACTATGCATGCGCGACTAATCTCTGAAACATAGAGGAACACCCTACTGGGCCCACCGGTGGATCGGAGGGGGAGTAGCCATTCGCCGGCGTTCCCCTCTGTCGAAGTATAAGTCCACGTGGTATAATAAAACTAGTTGCAGCCGCACTGCTCATGTTTGGTTCGTGTATACTGTAAAAAGTAAAGTAAAGTTACAGCCTATATACGTCCCACTGCTGGGCTCAGGCCTCCCCTCATTTCTGAGAGGGTTTAGGGCAAGGAAGTGACCGTCGCGCTGCCCAAATGCGTGTTGACGAACTTCACATGTCTTCGAAATATTTTTTTTCTTATTCTTCAGACATGCAGGTTTCCTCACGATGTTTTCCTTCACCGCCGAGCACGTGGTAAATCAGCACTTAAAATTGCAATTAACAATTTCATTGGTGCCGGCGGGGATCGAACCCGGGTTACTCGCGTTCTGTTATATTTACATCGAGCGTTAACCACTGAGCTACCACGGCTCTGTATACACTGTGACTGTGTATACTGTACCTATAATTTATTTATAAGTTATTGAAGGTCACAGTTGTCTGCTACGAAAGTAGCCTAACTAATGGTTTTAAATCTAAATAAAATATAGATACAAAAGTGTATATAATAGGGTATGTAAATAGTTGATTTTTGTATATACGATCAATAAACTTTTAAATATGCCTTAAATTGATTTATAATTTACATTAATGTTAAAATAACGTTAACATCGATTATAGAAAGTCGTAAGCCTGAAAAGTATGGAGAGAGAGTGTTCATTGGTTTTCTTTACCACTTTATTTTATTTTAGTCTAAAATGCGACTTATTACGAAATGATGTTCTTATATAGCACGCGGTCTATCCAACGAACTACATGTAAAGTAACGTGCTACGCAATATAGCGTGCTGCAAAACTTATTTCGGCGCGCTTGCCGGCCTCCTACACGATTTCTTATAAAAAGCGCTATAACATAGTGTATTTAATAGCGCGCTAGAAATTTATAGTTTATAGTCTGTAGCGTGCTATTAACACGCGAGTATAGCGACTAAACGATCTTGTTCTTTCATTATACAAGTTTTCTTAGGATGTTATTGTTGTTTAGCGGATGGAAATTTTTGGTGTGTCATTTTTATGTTAACTAATTAATTTATTTTAATCTATTTGATATATTTTCATTAAAATATTTTTATTGCAACCTTACTTTTGAAAGTACGTACATAAATATTTTAATTCTTTACATTTGATTGTAAATCGATGTTGGGTTTAATGATAATGATTATATCTACTAACGGTAGCAATTGTGGTATAAATAAATTGATAGTAACGGTTGCAACCTGTTTTAATAAATAAAATAACCAACTGTAACTAATATTTTTTTAATCGGTATTTACAGTCAATTACCATATTGTTTTTATTATAAATATACCTATTTGCCGCAATGGCATTGACCGAGCTTATCTCGAGTCAATAATTTAGGCAGTATACACTTTTTATAAAACGCTTGTAACCTGGGTAACATATGACTCGGAACTACTAAAAGAATATTTTAGTAGTTCCGGAGAAAACAGTTCACGAATAAACAGACTGCGGTGATTTATATGTAGCTATTGATTCTTAATTGTATTATTAATTATGATACTAGGCTGCACTAAAAGTATCGGGAATGGAATATTTCCACTGTTCCCGTCATATTAAAATCTTTTTTAATTGAAAACTCCTTGGTTTTAAAATTTTAATACCATTTATTTATTTAAAAAAAGATTCTCGGTCTTGTCACAAGGTTTTATCAAACTTGTTTAGTCGTTGAGAAAATGGAATTGACTTGAGAAAATTCAAGAGCGATGATTTATTGACTTTCGAAGTGGTTTAACACAAAAACAGTGTGTTGATCGGATGATTTCTGCATTTGGTGATGAAGCCCCATCCAAAACCACAATTTATCGCTGGTTTGCTGAATTTCAACGTGGACGTGTCAAGCTCAGTAATGATCCCCATCAAGGTCGTCCAAAAACTGCAGTCACCCAAGAAAACCTTGATGCTGTGCGTAAGCTGATTGAGGAAGATCGACATGTGACATACCGCGAAATTCAGGCGACTTTAGATATTGGCATGAGTCAAATACAAATAATCTTGCATGAACAATTATGTGTAAAAAAGTTGTTTTCCCGATGCATACCGTATTCGCTCTGTGAAGAGCAAAAAGCGGCTCGCGTTACTTGGTGCATCAGAACTCTCGAAAGATTCCACGCAGGATCCTCAAATGCCGTATACAACATCGTATCAGGTGACCAATCCTGGATATATGCGTACGAACCCGAAACAAAAAAACCAGTCACGAGTTTGGGTGTTCGAAAATGAGTTAAAGTCAACAAAAATTGTTCGTTCACGGAGTGTTACAAAAAATATGGTGGCCACGTTTATCTCCAAAACTATATATAGACTATTCCTCTTGAAGGACAAAGAACGGTTAATGCAGAATGGTATGCTAGCATTTGTTGTTGCTACAGGTCGTTTCTGAACTCCGTAAAGAGACCTGCAACCGCCGCATCATCCTCCATTACGACCATGCGAGTTCTCACACCGCACACAGAACAAAAGTGTTTTTAGAGCAAGAAAACATAGAATTATTAGACCATTCGCCGTACAGCCCCGACCTAAGCCCTAATGATTTCTATACTTTTCCTAAAATAAAGAATAAATTGCGTGGACAGAGATTTTCATCACCTGAAGAAGCTGTAAACGCCTACAAAACGGCCATTTTGGAGACCCCAACTTCCGAATGGAATGGTTGCTTTAATGATTGGTTCCATTGTATGGAAAAATGTGTCAAATTTCGCGGATAATACTTCGAAAAGCAATAAAAACATTTTTAAATAGTTGTTTGTCACTTCCTTGATTCCCGAAATTTTCAGTGCCGCCCTCGTACCGGTTAGATTTTCATCAAATCTTTAGCCAGCTTACTATAGTAAATTGGTATCTTTTATATGCGTTAAGTTATGTTAAAATATCTAGTTGGTCCAAAAACGATTCTCTCCTTTAAAAAGCCAGACGGGCCGGACACCGTTTAATTTGGCCGGACACGCAACCAAAAAGCCTGACTATGTCCGGCTTTATCCGGACGCCTGGCAACGTTAGCCACGGCCTTCGACGCCCATTACGTTAATATCGAAACTAGACGGAGCGCGCGAAGTAAATTAATATAGGTCCGACCTCGACGAGTGCTCGCGCTTTATTGAACGGTGAACGCAGAAGGCCGGCGCAGTGAAATATTTGATACTTTTATTTAGTTAATTAAAAATAATAATAACGATTTAAAAAGCAAAAATCATGGTAGAGTATAAGCAAATGTTGATGATTATTTTATTATAAATTTTACGTCAAAATTATGCTTTTTTGGTAGATAATTGAATTATGTCGATTTTTTCCCTTACGTGAAAGGCATCATATAACGAAAATATATTTAATAATTATTAAAGTATAGGATAATTGTGACTTGTTTTTTTCGATGGTCGATATTAAATAGAATCTACAAATTAGAGCTCCCAAATCATGTCTCTTAGAGTTTTGGCCTAAACATGCATATTGAGAACGATTATTATAAAATTCAACAACCAAAATTCGCAACCCAAAAGCCTGACTATGTCCGGCTTTATCCGGACGCCTGGCAACGTTAGCCACGGCCTTCGACGCCCATTACGTTAATATCGAAACTAGACGGAGCGCGCGAAGTAAATTAATACAGGTCCGACCTCGACGAGTGCTCGCGCTTTATTGAACGGTGAACGCAGAAGGCCGGCGCAGTGAAATATTTGATACTTTTATTTAGTTAATTAAAAATAATAATAACGATTTAAAAAGCAAAAATCATGGTAGAGTATAAGCAAATGTTGATGATTATTTTAGTATAAATTTTACGTCAAAATGATGCTTTTTTGGTAGATAATTGAACTATGTCGATTTTTTCCCTTACGTGAAAGGCATCATATAACGAAAATATATTTAATAATTATTAAAGTATAGGATAATTGTGACTTGTTTTTTTCGATGGTCGATATTAAATAGAATCTACAAATTAGAGCTCCCAAATCATGTCTCTTAGAGTTTTGGCCTAAACATGCATATTGAAAATGATTATTATTAAATAAACAAATAAGTTGTCTAAAATTTGTCTGACGTAGTATAGAAAACGAACTATTTTACTAAGTAATTGTTATTTCAAGCAACGAACGGAAAACATAATTTCAACGAGGAAACATTGTAATATCGCGTTTTTTTGTAATACTCCTTTTAAGCCGTTATTTGGAAAATTACCTAGAGCAACTTACAATTATTTTTTTTGCCTATGATTTCATAATCAGGTACTGCAATCCACGTTACGATTTTCCGACGCAAGATCAAAGCTTTGAGATGGCGCTGCATTTGCTGAGACAAAAGAAAACCAGTCTTGAGGAGGCTGGCAAGAAGTTCTCATCGGTCCTCATCGTGTGTGGCACATACACTATAGGTATGATTATTGAGTGTTGGATAACCTTGCGAGAGTGGATTAGCACCGCGCCCATACTGAATGTGTATTTTAATGGAGTATTGGCGGACTTATTAGTAAAGCAAATAAAAGTATTTTTAACAGATAACTCATGGTTTTCCCTTTTTAATCAGTCAATAAATTAGAATGTTATTCAGTTTGACTCAAATTTTTTTAATGTAAATATGTAACAATAATATCAGTTGTTGGTTGACCGATTTCGATGTTCTTATTATGTCGCCTCTACACGTTGGCCAACACAGTGGCGAATGTAGTGGCCAATAGCATTGGCCAACGTGTAGACGGGGTGTTTGGGCTTCATTGGTATGTATTGGAACGATGGCCCGCAAGTTGGCGCCAGATCCGTGTGGTGTCGATTTTTTACAAAAGATCAAAGGATTGTTGGCAGAGTTTGGTCGCCGCGTCCACACGTTGGCCGAGAGTTTAGTTTGCTACAAGCTCCCAGAGTGATTACACGCATCTGATTTAAATTTTATATTCAAGCTTTGTAGGGTGGATGCCCCAATTACCAGCCTTTTAGTGCCAATTTCAACTTTAAACATTCCTACTACTTTAATTAGCGCGATTTAATTATTATTAAACATTTGTTTTAATCAATAAGCTATTTATTTAAAAAAAAATTAACGTTTTTTTACAATCAGATTATTACGAGAACAATTTTAAAATGAAAAAAAATGAAGCACGTCGTTTATACGTGGTAGAACCATGCAATTATATTAGAAGTATAGTTGGTGCACGAAGGTCGGCTCGACCGGGGAAGGACCACGCTCTCACAGAATATCAATAGTAGCTTAATGATGCTGTGTTTCGTATAGTGAGTGTAGAGAACCAGAGACCCTTTTTAAAGGAAACGAGGCATTTCATCTTAGTCCCCACGGGTGACAACGCATCTGTATTTTGATTCGTAATCGAGGATAGATGTAGATGTCTGTGGGCCACAGTTACCACTTACCATCAGGTGAACTGTGTGCTCGTTTGTCACCCTATCCTATAAAAAAAGTCGATTTCTTATAATTTAATCGTGCAAGATTTCGAATCATCATTATCATTACAGCTGTTCACAAGTCCACTACTGAACATCCTCCTCCACAGACTGCCGCAAAGCATAGTCCTGAGCCACTTTGCTCGTCATGAGTTTTTCATTTATGTTCTAAGTTATAATTAGTACCTATTATTAAGTCAGTGTTAATTATATTTATTGCTATTGTTTTTGTCTTTCTCAAAAAATAATTAAATTACCAAATAAATTATAAGGTGTTTTTATATACATCAAATGTCTGATAGAAATGCAAGTACATATTTCGCTAAACTTTAAAATCAAAACACAATTTTAAAACATAGACTAATCGATTATCACGATCTCATGGCGACATGGAGAGAGCGACTGTCGCAACCCCGTGCTGGGCACGCCACTATAGCGGCGATAAGACCCCTCTTTGAGGAGTGGCTTGAGAGACGCCACGGCATCCTCACCTTCCGCCTGACTCAGGTCCTCACCGGACACGGTGTGTTCGGGAGGTTCCTGCACCGAATCGGGCGGGAGGAAACGCCCGGGTGCTCCCACTGCGAGGATGGACTGGAGGACACGGTGGAACACACCGTGGAGGTGTGCCCTGCTTGGGCGGAGCACCGCCGTGTCCTCGTAGCGGCGATAGGCGGCGGCGACCTCTCGCGTCCGGCCCTGGTCGAAGCCATGGTCCGGAGCGAGACGGAATGGGATGCCGTCACCACCTTCTGCGAAGCAGTAATGCTAGCGAAGGAGGTGGCGGAGCGGGAGAAGGAAAGAGCAGCAGCTTTCCTCCCCGGCCGCCGCGGGAGACGCCCCGGGCGTCGGGGGCTACGTCGTGGCCCCCGGCCACCGTAGGCGCGGGCCTGTGGACGGCGAGCAATGGGTAGCTCGTCGTCCGTCCGTCTAACGACGACAGGCCGTGTCGACGGCGCGTTTTGTTCCACGCGCGCCTCAAAGAGCTGTCAGCAGCGTGATGGGCCCCGCAAGGGCCGGCGCCTGCCGGGGCTGCGGGCTATTCGAAAGAGATACCGCGGCTCCGGAACGTAAGGGCACTGAAGGAACACGGATGGTTTTTAGTCAGTAAAAGTCTGACACTCCCTTACGCTCCACCCAGAGCGAAAGGGGTCATTAGATGATTTTCCATCCGCAAAAAAAAAAAAAAAAGACTAATCGATTATAACTCCTTTAACTTTAAAATAAGTTAAGTTCTAATTAATGGTATTTATTCCAGTTTCTGATGCATGTAAACAATAAATAAAGCTAATAGTATATCGTATATCTATTTACAGCCCCATTAATATCCATTATTATTTTATAATTCTTTTATAAAAACGTTAACCCCACACTACGATTTTCTCCTGTATCGCGCAGGCAGTTTACAAACATAAATTGCACAAGGACACACATTCAGACCCGAAACAATTATTTGTAGGATATACAAATACTTGTTCCGCACTGTATCAAACCCGCGGCGCCCGGCGCAGCCACTCATTACTGAGCCACTGCTCCACGGTGCTTATAAATTCGTCCGCACATTGGCCCGAACCGAAGTAAACTGAACGACCTTCCAACGTGTGGACGCCGTCCCCAACTTTCGGCCAATATATTCGCCACTCCATTCGCCACTGTGTTGGCCAACGTGTAGAGGCGACATTAGACAGTAGCGAGAGATAGTGGTAGGTACCGCAGTTTAAATATAGTATACAGTTTGGAAACGCCTTTGATGTCAGCCGATGACGCCGCCCGTGTAGGTATTTATTATTTACGCCGTCGTCGCAAATATATTAGGGGTTGTACGAAATTGTTAATAAAATAATTTTGGATATTATACTCATCATTTATTAACATTATGTACACACAAGATTAAAACATTTATTTAACAAGATCATTTTTATTTCTACAAGAAAAAATACTTTTAAAAATACTGTGTTGCATTGCCAAATATACCCTTATACCCTTTATTTTTATAGATGTTTTCAGTTTTCGATAGTAAAATTTTATTATGAAGTGTATTCGTATTTGGATAAACAATTTATCAAATAAAAAATGAGGAAAATATAAGCATGGCCGTCATTTGAATTTAACTTTACTTAGTAAGTCATATAACTAAAACATTAATTCACCATTTTATATATTATATTATATTTTTCGAAAACGGTACTTAAAATTCGTTAAATAAGTAAATAAGAATAAAAAGCCTTTTATTCCACGCTAAATAAGTTTTACAATATAACTTTTTTACAATGTAATTTGCATTTTATAAAGGAAATTGTAAATGTAAATTTAATTTTTTTTAGATTTTAATACATTAATTTATTTCTATACTGTTGAATGAACTTGATTGAGTTAATAATTAATGTCATGATTTTGAGTATGATAACTATTTTTCATAATATTTGGTTAAATTTAAATATGCATTACTAATAACATTAATATTTTTAATCTATGTAATTGATTTATAAACTTTAAGTGACAATTTAGATTAGTTGCAAATTGACAAAATATTTTAATTTATTAAGGATCTTTATACCCATTTGTGTTTGTTTACTTTGCATGGACGCCCCTTAGGTGATGGCCTCCTCCAATTATTTCCATTTGTCTCTGTTTTTTGCTATTTGTGTCCAACGCGGTCCCGCGATCTTTTTTATGTCATCTTCCCAGCGCATGTATGGTCTGCCTGGACGTCTTTTTCCTGGAGGGCCATTCCATGTGGTTATGAGAAAAATTCGTTAAATAAGTACTATAAAACATGCTCGCGTGTATTGATTGTCCAGCAGACTTAGTGGAGTGTGCTGGCGCAAGGTCGCGCCCCGTCGTTGATCTGCACAAGTACATTCGTTTCCCAACTGTTAAATTGTGCTAGTACTATTTATGAAACAGATTTTTGCTTTTATTAAATTACCTCTACTGTGACGTGATGTTTGGTGTCACAAATTATTGTTCTTAATTTTGCTAATATTTTATGTAATCTTTTGCAATTTTTCTTGTGTAGGGAAAGAGAAGTTCTTCCTGGGCATTGCCAGACGTGTGGGTTGCGCCGTGTGGGCTGGCCCTGAAAAGGACCGTGTGTTGCAAATTGTAGAGGGGCGGAGTTTCAACCAAGCGTCGCCACAGTCGTGTCAGTTGCACGTTGTACCCATGAGGGATCTTACACATGAGGTGTTTATTACTTAATTTTTCAAACCATTTCCCAAGTCTTTTTTCTTCATACAATTAGGGTGACAAACGAGCATAAAGTCCACCTGCTGTGGCCCATAGACTATTAATCTTCGAACCAAATTTCAGATGCTGACACACCTGAAGACAAAGATGGAATTCTACGTTTTCAGTAAAATGGGTCTCCGATCTCGACATTTACTATACTAAACACTGCAGTATTAATCTGCTATTTTACGCTGGTCTTCTGTGAGCGCGTGGTCCTTCCCTGGTCGAACTGACCCATTCATGCTACAACCATAATATAGCTGCAGCGCGGCTCTACCACGTCGATATATGAAATTAGTGCAAGGAAACATTCCACACACGTCCCTTACAGCTGAGTGCAGGCCTTCCTTCATTTCTGAGAGGGTGTAAGGATAAGGAAGAGCGGCTATCTATAGATAGTTAAAAATTTTTGCTTTTACTGTTGAATTTGAAGGAAATTGAACTTTGAACACTGATGCCAAATATGCTTATCGATTGTGACTGTGTAATAATAGGGGAATATTTGCCATAGTTGCCACGCTTGAAAAGTGAGTTGACAACCGCAGTTTTTAATTTTTAGGCATTATTAGGAAGATGCTGCTCACCATCACCTGATTTGTTTCCCTCTGCCGCCTCTTACGGCACCCACGGGATGATATGGGGCTGTGGATATTCTTACACCGCTACTACACGATTGTTATTGCACATAATATCTTTGATATCACAAAATCTCTACAAGAAAACTCCAATGTATTTGAAATTTAACGTTTTTTTAATGTTAAATTTTCAATTACCAAGGTGTATAAGATGTAAGGTGTATGGCGTGCGAAGCGGATTATCCTTGTCAATAACCCGCTTTGCCCGCCGTGGATGTGTTTCAAGACAACAATAGGGTATTTTAAACCATATAAAAAAAATCAATAAATGTATATTTATGATAGACTTTGTAAAAAGTAAACGAGAAATATTGATATCCATTTATAATATATAGTTATAAATTTCAATTTTAAGAATTTTTTTTCTGTGCCTCAAATCTGGAAAACGCTGTCCTATATTAGACACTGTCGTGACGTCACTGATCCCGCCTAAGGATCTGTGTCACTGATTACAATAACAAGCTAATGTGGTGTGTTATTTCGAAAATTTTCAAGTTGTCATTACGATTATTGTGTTTTATTGAAAAGTATGGAAGACGAATTCGTAAAAGCAGAAAGTACTAATCTACCAAGGATAAATAAATTGATGGTGGCAAATATTTTTTGCATGCAATCCCAATTTTTGTTCTGCTGAGTTAAGGGATGTAAAAAATTCAAAGTAAGTACCTATTACCAACATTTGCTTATACAGAAACACAATACCAGGTCAGAGTGTATTTTGCTAAAATATAGTTTAGTAACTATCATAGTTTAGTATGTCTATAATTACAATCATAAGCAAAAAATCATACAAAAATTAGTTATAATTTTTTTTATAGGATAGTGTGACAAACGAGCACACAGTCCACCTGATGGTTAGTGGTCGCTGTGGCCCATAGACATCTACATCTATTCCCCATTAAAAATCAAAATGCAGATGCGTTGTCACCCATGAAGACTGAGATGGAATGCCTCGTTTCCAGTAAAAAGGGTCTCTGGTTCTCTACACTCACCATACGAAACACAGCAGCATTAAGGTACTATTTGACGCCGGTATTCTGTGAGAGCGTGGTCCTTCCCCGGTCGAGCCGACCCATTCGTGCTACAAGCTGCAACTATACTACTAATGTAACTGCAGCATGGCTCTACCACGTAATTAATAATATTAGTTGCAATTTAATAATATTAGTTATCATCGACAGTATATTCAATTTATAAACAATTCAACCATCTAGCCAACTTTTATATATATTTGTGATGTACATAGTAAAACTTAAAAATGGATATGGGACTTGAACGTGAAATTTACCTTCACAATAATAATAAAATCAATTTTAAGAAAAATTTTAAATTTGTATATTTTATAAAAATTACGCTACAGTTTAGAAGAATCTTTTTAAATGATCCTTTAAGAATGATACAATTGGTAATTCGGTAATAACAAAACAAATTAAAACCTTGGCTTCATCAGAAGCAGATGCGATAATTCAAGAGCAAAGTGTAAACCCGCTTTATCAAGTTGTAAAGCACAAAAGAACAAAGTATTTCGAGACTGAATATTTTTCTTCTTAAACATAAGATATAAAATATTAAATCTAAAACGTATATTTGCCTACCCAAAATTATTTTATATCGTTTTCGCTTGAAATCGTTGATTAATTATACAGTTCTTTCTATGGTAACTTTTGACCTAAATACTATATTATAATTAATTAAAATAGGTAGTATTTTACATAATTGCGACAAAGTTTCAGTCAATTGCGTAGAAGATCAAATTATGTCACATCAACTTCTGCCGTCAAGTATGGCCTGAGCTATTAATAACTTAATTATTCAAATGACATAATTTATTTGTAAAAGATACGAATAGTTGGAGAAACTGCATTTGAAACGCATCTATGTCATTATAACACAGTTTATTCTATATTTGTATAAAGTATTTATGAATATCCTTCTTGTGTAATGATTTATAAAAAAATTTGCGTTATGAATGTATATATCTTGAATACGAACTATGATATTATATGTAAAAGATCTTTATGCCTTTATCAGTTTCAGAATACGCTACGACAGAAATATCGACCACAAACACCAAAATAAAGTCATCAGCATCTTCTTAACAAAATCCAGGTCACCGTCTCTCAATCTGAGCTGAGTTAGTGAGCGAGTGCTGTCTTATTACATTATAAAAATGCATTCAAGTTTTTTCAAAACACATGGTGACAGCCCTACTCGTGTTCTTGTCGTGTCGAGCAAAGTAAACATTTTCTTTGACTAATGTTACCCGTGACACTAAAACAATACTCGCATGTTTTTGAATCGCATTTTTTACATTAAGCTGTGCTTTATATTATGGCGTAGGGGAGCGACGTTAGACAACTCATTATTCGTCCCGTCTGTAAGAAGCGAGTATGCCAAGAAAACCTCACGGCTTCTGTTAAATAACCATTTTTTTTATAAAATTCGAGTGACAAATTTTAATTGAATTTACAGAACTGGCTACTGCAAGTCATAGATACTTGCTGTCAACTTATAAATAAAAACAAATAATATTAGACTTTAGAAAGATCTAAACAACACGCATCCATCCTTAGCAGATTATTGCACGCCTAATAAGCCATATCTAAGTTAACGTAATTTATTACAAAATTGCGATACCCTTCATCTCATGATGTTTTGTTTTGTATACTTACATCAAAATGATCTTCACAGAAGAAGTCAAGTTTTTGTAGACAATATATTCGGATATCTTCTTGTCAGTTTTGACCAAGTATTTCTTATATTTAAATCAGTTGTCTCTTGATCCCATAACTTTACCGGCGTTCTTAAGCTCGCATTTTGCATTCAGGCACAACACAACAATGATATAGATGTTACCTCATTGTTTAACATTAAAAAGTATCTTATTCCTATGCAAAATTCTAGGACAGTGACGTCACGAGTGATCAGCATGGCGGCTAGCGTTTTCACGCGAAAATTTAAAACGATAGATTAAAAGTATTTTTATGGCACTATACGGTTTTTAAAAAAAATATGTAATATTATAGTGGTTCATTATCACTCTAGAATTAATTTGAAACACTTTTTGAAAATGGGTGTAAAACCCTATTATTTAAACCCCCTCAAGAACGAAGTGGTTAAATAGGTTTTCGTATTTAATCAAAACTTGATTAATTTGATGTAAAGATACAAAATCTTATGTTATTCCTTAACCTGTTTCCTGTAGAAACTACAAGCATATTTGAATGGCCTTAAAGGAGCGTTCAGTGAAGTCGTAGCTTTTAAACCGAGCGGCTGGGAGAATGGGAAGAATTCCACTGTACAGAAAGACTTAGTTACTATACACGGTAATACTTTTTTATGTGTTTTCTTAACAAAAACTAAATAAATTTCCCTTATACCTCGCTAGGTCGTTGAAAAATGTAAATATTTTTGAGATGCAAATTTGCTGTTCCTTTCGAGCAATCAGTGTTCAAAATATGCTTTCGATTTTTCACAGCGAATTTCGAAGTATAACATAAAATTTGCAATAGAATGAATGAAATGGCCACAAATGTATTCACAAAATTGTATCGTGGCGCTGTAGCCTTATGTTTAAAATTTTAAAGGAGCGCAAAATATCAGTCTCACCTTCACTTTGTTTAATCGATTGATCAAACCTCTAGAGCCGATAAATGTTTAAAAATATCCTCAAAATATTATCCCTAATGCAGTTTATTCAGTGCGAGCCTCACCAATCTTTCCATCTAGCATGTTGTTCAAAGTAATGTATACTAAAGGGCGCATTTTTGGAAAGGCCTACAAGTCGTGGAGTTGATTCTTGATGAAGACCATGGAACTATAAAGAAGGTCCCAAATATTTTTAACAGCATAAGGGTAACAAACAAGCACACAGTCCACCTGATGGTAAGTGGATGCTGTGACCCATGCACATCACATTTATTATCGATTAAGATTCAAAATTCTGATGCGTGGTCATCCTAACTCCTTAGTTTATTGGTAAGGTTTTTATTTATTTCACTGTTTAATGTTGAAATATTTTGTGTGTAGGTATTCCATACAGCGAACATTCCAGTTTCTCCGAGATGATTCGTTTCGTAAAATTTCTGAAGCCAAAGCAGGTGGTTCCCACCGTTGATATATCTGGCGGGGCTAAAGCTGTTCAGGTACTTGTCTATATTCATTTATTTTCAATACATTGTCATGAGGCATTTTTATTTTTAATACTAAAAACCTTTATGTTATTCTGTACTCTCTGTGTGTTTATCTGTGTGAAAGACTTCGTAATGAGGTTATCCACTGTAGAACAAGATTAACCGACATAGCCCAAAAGATCATTAAGCTGAAAAACCGATGGGTAAGCGAAGTGTAGGTCGGCCGTCCACTTGATGGAGTGACGAACTGGTAACAGATGCATGCAAGAAGTCTATGAATGCATGTGGCTCTCAACAGTGTTTTGTGGTGTTCCTTGAGGGTAGATCGATGTTTAGCTGTGAACTTGTGGTGGGCTGTAATAATGTTCATATTGATGGTGGTACAACATGTCTTCTCTTATCCTAGCAGGTTTTAGAAAATAGTGAACATTAAATGAGTTCCCTCCTCATAAATTAAATTAAAAATGTCATATATATGTAAATACGAAAACTTTACTTGTTAAAAGTCTGCTTGCTGCCTAAAAGGTTTTTAAAAAACCTAGAGAGGCGCATCGCCATACCAACATTATTTTTCCGAGAAGAGAAGAGTATTGGACTTGCGAAGCCCACTCAAAACGGCCACGTCGGTCCAGCCAGGGGCCTTCCTGCTACGACAACGCTGGCCACGATTGGGGGAGGGGGAGGGTATTTTTTATTTGGAAAAAAAAACAAAGGTTATGCCGCTATCTAACGCGGTCACATTATACGAGACCCCTTTTCCAAAATGAACTGATACCTCAGACCACCATAGCCAAATTACTTTAAAAATCCTATCTCTAGTTTTTTTTCTATTGATGTAAAGTACTTACCAATTTAAAAACTACGGTGAGTAAATTTAGCATATAGATATACAATTCAGTAAATATCAAGTGTAATCTTCATTATGTTTTCGTTTATGTCGACCTATGTGAAACCGATTGCGACCCCAAAGGGGTCGATATCGACCACGGGGAATCCCTGTTCTAGAGCCACCATCACATTATTGGTATTTTCCTAACTCTTACGTATTGGACAGTAGACTTATTTATCAGCTTCTCAATTCCACTTACCTCGACGACCTCCATTTTTACTATAATAATAGAAAATATAAATTCCATTTCAGCAATATTTCCCCTGTCCACTGGTGTATAAGGAAGATTTCAAATGTCAAAGCAGATTAACAGACTACTTTAATGTAAAAAGTCGACAACAAGTGCCCGGTGTCACATGATGTTAGGTAAGTGCTTATCTTTTTTAACACTCAATGTATGTTTATGACTTCTTCGAGAGTGTTCTTAGCTACGATTCAAGAAAATCTTTTCAGCTGGTTTGAAGACCATCAGCTCTTTTTGTTTCGGGTTTTTTAAATTTAATTTATGAATGAATATTAATGAACATTAAAGTTGTCAACGGGCTTAAGAGTCTACTGCTCTGTAGCCTCTGACCGATATGGGGTATTTGGCATAATGGCCATGCTTAGTTTTTTAACTTAACACCGTTCTTCGTTTTCACCATCGTAGGTCTGGATATTTTACATTTAATTGTTATACCCCGCCATCCATTGCAAGCCTCGAGCTATCGAAGGTTTTTATAGCGTTTTTAGCGTTTTTTAGCATTGTCTATTATACGACACCCACGGGGCAAAATGGGCTTAGGGATTCCTTATGCCGATTCCATACGACATAACTTGTTAGTGACGGAAACAGCATTGTTACCTATATAAGTCACTAAAGATTATTAAATAAATAATTGTATTATTTTTATTATATAAGATTATTTGTTGCAGGTACGAATATATTTTAAGGTGCCATTTTTATCTGTGATGTATTTTCAATATTTTTACATTTTAATTTCTTAATTTATGGAATATTGTTTTTAATAAAATTGTTGATAAGCGCATTGGTGGCATTTTATTAATTCGTAATAGCTCTTCTGAATGAAGATTGTGGATTTTTTTCATAAATCAAATGGTTACAACTACTTTGCGAAAACCTTTGATCCAGCCAGCATGTTGTTGGCAGCGTGCACATGCCGGCGAGTTTTACTTCCAATTTGTCTACGACATATTTATACACACGACAGCACGATGTTGGGAGCGTGCACGTACCGACGAGTTTTACTTACAATTTGTCTACGACATATTTATACACACGACAGCACGCTGTTGGGAGCGTGCACGTACCGACGAGTTTTACTTCCAATTTGTCTACGACATATTTATACACACGACAGCATGCTGTTGGGAGCGTGCACGTACCGACGAGTTTTACTTCCAATTTGTCTTCGACATATTTATACACACGACAGCACGCTGTTGGGAGCGTGCACGTACCGACGAGTTTTACTTCCAATTTGTCTACGACATATTTATACACACGACAGCATGCTGTTGGGAGCGTGCACGTACCGACGAGTTTTACTTCCAATTTGTCTTCGACATATTTATACACACGACAGCACGCTGTTGGGAGCGTGCACGTACCGACGAGTTTTACTTCCAATTTGTCTTCGACATATTTATACACACGACAGCACGCTGTTGGGAGCGTGCACGTACCGACGAGTTTTACTTCCAATTTGTCTACGACATATTTATACACACGACAGCATGCTGTTGGGAGCGTGCACGTACCGACGAGTTTTACTTCCAATTTGTCTTCGACATATTTATACACACGACAGCACGCTGTTGGGAGCGTGCACGTACCGACGAGTTTTACTTCCAATTTGTCTTCGACATATTTATACACACGACAGCACGCTGTTGGGAGCGTGCGCGTACCGACGAGTTTTACTTCCAATTTGTCTACGACATATTTATACACACGACAGCACGCTGTTGGGAGCGTGCACGTACCGACGAGTTTTACTTCCAATTTGTCTACGACATATTTATACACACGACAGCACGCTGTTGGGAGCGTGCACGTACCGACGAATTTTACTTCCAATTTGTCTTCGACATATTTATACACACGACAGCACGCTGTTGGGAGCGTGCACGTACCGACGAGTTTTACTTCCAATTTGTCTACGACATATTTATACACACGACAGCACGCTGTTGGGAGCGTGCACGTACCGACGAGTTTTACTTCCAATTTGTCTGCGACATATTTATACACACGACAGCACGCTGTTGGGAGCGTGCACGTACCGACGAGTTTTACCTCCAATTTTTCTTCGACATATTTATACACACGACAGCACGCTGTTGGGAGCGTGCACGTACCGACGAGTTTTACTTCCAATTTGTCTTCGACATATTTATACACACGACAGCACGCTGTTGGGAGCGTGCACGTACCGACGAGTTTTACTTCCAATTTGTCTTCGACATATTTATACACACGACAGCACGATGTTGGGAGCGTGCACGTACCGACGAGTTTTACTTCCAATTTGTCTTCGACATATTTATACACACGACAGCACGCTGTTGGGAGCGTGCACGTACCGACGAGTTATACTTTCAATTTGTCTTCGACATATTTATACACACGACAGCACGATGTTGGGAGCGTGCACGTACTGACGAGTTTTACTTCCAATTTGTGTACGACATATTTATACACGCTGTACGTTGTAGGTTTTTTATAACAAATAGTGACAAACAAAAAAATATGGGAAATGAACTATCCATTGCTTTTTGAATTGAAAGAAAACTGAGTTTTATAGATTTGTCAGAGATGCAGCAATTAAAAGGAAACTGAGCAAAATTGATTCGTCAGCCTATTTAAATGTTTTGAAACGCAGCGTATAGGAAAGCATGAAAATAGCCTGTTTATTCCAAATGGAAATGGGATATTTTTTTAAATAAAGGAAACTGAGCATAGTTATCCGTCAGGGATGCAGACTTTTGAAAAGAAACTGAGCTAAATTGATTCGTCAGAGATGCAGTTTTCCGAATTGAAAGGAAACTGAGCCAAATAAAAGATCCGTCAGAGATGCAGCCTTTTGAGTTGAAAGGAAACTGAGCTTAATAGGTCCGTCGGAGGTGCAGCATTTGGAATTGAAAAGAAACTGAGCTAAATAGGAAATTTTGAATTGAAAGGGAAGATCTATGGAAATTCTGATTAATTGATTGTTTTTATGTATGTTTTCCATTCGGAGAAAGAATGTGGAGATTCAGGGCATTTGACACACGCGAACATGCTACATACAGCTGACCATGAGAGAAGCACGGTTTTTCTAAGTTGACCCCCGCTACCTGTAACGTTTGCCCTTGCGCTTTATTAATTACCATTGCCAAACTGAGCTTAATAGGGAACTGCAACCTTTTGAATTGAAAAGGAAGATCTGTGGGAATTATAGGGATCCGTGATATAATAACATTTTCACCTTTTCCTACGCCTGTCAAAATTGTAGCACCGATTATGTTCCGTCCAAGATGTATCGCACGCAGCCTTGTCCCGTTACATAACCGAGGAGCATCTAAATTTCGCATTAGCATGACTGGGACGCCTAATTTTAATTGAAGCTTAGGTGTGCCACCTGACAACTCTAGAGAATTTAGAAACTCTACGGGATATGAAGTGCTCTGTTCTGTGTCCATAACTGTGTCTACTGACAAATACTCTGTTATTTCTCCTGCTACTTCGCTTAATATATCCGGATTTATTTTGTTAACGCTCTGATTTTTTGGTGCAATAATCGCCCTTTCACATAACCATTTGTCTTCATGCATGTTGTTCGTTAAATCTGAATAAACGCTCGCAATTAATTCGGAATGACTCTGTACTAAATTACAAAAATCTCTCGTCAATTTAACGCAGCCCTCAGCATCCGTTTCCAACCGCCCATCGCCAATTTTTAATAGTGTGTCAGCATAGTTTCCAGCATTGATATCATTATACAAATGCACTCTCATATTCGTAGTTAAAGTGAATTTTGTCACCTTGTTCCATAAAATAGACGATTTGAGGCATGCTTTAATTTCATCTGCAGGTGTGCCCTTTTGAATGACAGGTAAAGTTTGGCGAAAGTCACCAGCCAGTAAAACCACCATTCCTCCCATTACATCGGTATTGCTGCGCAAATCCTGGAGCGTTCGATTTAGTGCTTCTACAGCTTTTTTATGCGACATTGTACTTTCGTCCCACACTAAAAGTTTGCATTGTCGTAGCATTATACCTCGTGCACTATTTTTGCTAAAGTTGCAGATCGGCGATTCTTCCTGGGCTAGATTTAGAGGGAGTTTTAAAACGGAATGTGCAGTGCGGCCCCCGCTTAGCAGCGTGGCGGCTATACCGGAGGAAGCTACGGCCACAGCAATGTTTTTAATCTTTCCGTACTTGCGCTAATAATAAATTTAACAAAAATGTCTTCCCAGTTCCTCCAGAGGCATCTAAAAAGAAAAGTGGTCTATTTCCAGATTCAATTTGTCCTAATACTTTGTCAAAAACTCGTTTTTGTTCGGGAAGCAAGCGGGGTACAAATTCGGCTACTTGCTGCTGCAAAGCTGGTATATCGTAGTTTGTTTCACGTATAATTTCATCACTTAGTTCATTTTCGGTTGTTCGCTGAGGGCTTATCATTCCAAAGTCGCTTAATTTTTTGCCTACCATTGCCATTACTTTATCTTCAATTTTTCCAAGTGCTTCATTATAAATGTGTTCATTGTATGTCATGTTCGCGTGTATCTGCTTTAACCTTCGCAAAATATCTTCCGCCATGTACTCTTTATATTTGTCCCACAATTCATGTGCATTAGATAGCCCGCAAGATGATATGAGAGTTGCATAAAGATCCCTAATTTTGGCTGGTGACTGGCACTGCACAGCTTCCTCCATGGTTTCATCCCAGTGATTATTGTTTTCTAAAAGATGCAGAGCTTCACATGCTTCTCTATAAGTTGCGCATTCCGGTCTTTATATCCTGTAGGACGCCGAATATGGTGCAGCAGCAATCGTAAACAGAAACGTTCAAAATTAGTTACATGGACGGTATACACACGACAGATGCCTGTGATCTGATGACTTTACACCGGGCCAATTTGCAACAGGCGCGCCTTGAATACGGCGTTTTCACTCCTTCCTAGATGTGTTCCACGTATAATAGCTGGGGACTTCAGAAAACGTTTTTGCAAAGGGGTCGGTTTGACAAAGTTGAAAGAAGGCTGTTAGTGTAGTTTTTGGCGGTGATGCAATTCTTTCTTGGATTTTTTTTTCGGTGAAATATACACGCTCTCCATTTTCTAAGTGCACAGCAAGGTGAGTAACTGTTGGTTGCCTTTCGTGTAGAGGAAAGCCAAGGAGACTCCACGCTGCCTCGTTAATGCTGATATAACGCCCTGCTTGAAAGGTATGTACTTCATTAACGGGATTTGCCTCACCTTCACTCCTGAGATTAAATATTGCTTGGTCACTTCCTTTATTTATGTACTTACAGATATACTTGATTGCGCGGACAGAGCTACATGCTTCTACATTAATGTGGGCATTAAAAATTTTACATAAAATGGGCGAATACGGGACAATCCATCTGTTATCTAAGGTTTCGAACGCTCCAGAGCGAGATTTGATTGTAACTTTCCTGCCACCATCTTCGGGAGCTCTGCGTCTGTATAAAGGGTAGCCATTGTCATTGTGCACTGTTTCTTTTAATAGCTGTTTCGGAAATTTCTTTGTACATTTTCCTTCTTTCATATATGGCGATATTGAATTTCGTGCTCCACATGGACCGTGAATCATATTTCGGACGATGGTATCATACAATTCTTTATCTTGCTCAGGATCCGGAATCTCGGCGCTTATTATGTCGTCTATTTGGCTGGGCCGCAACTTCTCTTTAAGCCATATTAGAATGTGGACATGCGGTAATCCTCTTTTTTGCCATTCAATTGCACACATGAAGCACTGCACCTGTCCGAAAATTTTCCCTTTGTTAATTACATACATTAATTTTTGTACTTTTAATCTAAATACTCTAGCAACTAAATCGTGTCTGTCAGTACTTTTTTGGCCCGGCATTAGCTCCTCGGTTATTTCTTTCCATGTGGGATTGCAAGTAAAAGTAACAAAAAGATCAGGTCTTCCGTAAGTTCGTACATAGGCGAATGCGTCTTGTGTGTACTCATGTTGGTAGCGGGGACTGTTAACGAATGATGAGGGCAGAATTACCATTTTACCTAAATGTCTGGGGTTTACAGTGGCGTCGCTAGAAACTGCATCTTGTAAATGTATATAATTCTCAACGCGCAGCTTTTTTTGATTTAAAGATATATAACGGAGACGTTCACTTTCTACCTTCACATACATGTCTACCAAAAATTGATGAAATAATTGTCTACACCGGGCTAAGAGGTTAAAATCATTTTCTCGCAACATCATATGATACGCATAAAAATCCATACATGATACTTTTTTGTTCGGAGTAGGCTCCTTTGTGACCGGGTTAATGAGTGGAATTTGAAAATGATAACCCTCTTGTCCTTTGCAATAAATCAATGGGTATTGTAGAGCGTCATAAAACTTGTGTGTATCGGCTACCCGTTGCAACGTATCATCACGTGCTCGCAAGACAATGTCTCGCGAAGAAAATTGATCACCACTAATTATGGCTTCTATTTCGTTTATCAAAGATGCATTGTAGCGCCTTTCGTGCTCTCCTCGAGGGGTCCGATCTGCGTGAATGACCGACTTTATAATCCTCTTCAGGTAGCTTTTCTAAAGCAGTTTTAAATGTTTTGACTAAAATGTTACGTTCATGCAAGAATCTTTGAATTTTGAACACTGTGTCTCTCTTAACTCCCTGGATAAATTGGCAGCGACGGTCTACCTCAATTTCTTCGTCACCCATAAAATATACTTGTAAAATTTATGGTGTTCGTTTTCAGCTGGAAAAAGTGAACCTATTCTATGATAAATTTGCCCTTGCACCGTAAATGTAGGCGAAATCCCGGCATTATTATTTCCCGGTCAACTCCGAAGGACGTCATTTGAAAGCATGAGTTATATTTCCGGATCCTGTTTAAAAAGCGCCGTGACTCATTAGCATCATTTAAAAAGAGAGTTTTAAAAGGTTCTTCTGGTTCCCCAAGTAACGGAAGAGACACTTTGCCATTGGAACAGCACATGCCTGCGGTCTCATCTTTCCATTTTAAAGCGCTGCAAAATCGACACGCCTTGTCCATCAGACCGATAACAACTAACCTGCGATTTTTATAATCAATCAACGGATCATAATTGAATGCTGCGTCATTAAAAACCGACCAATTGTTTCTTTGAAAATTTTGTCGACGTTCAGCTTGGAGCTGTGCATTTGCATCTCTTCGCGCCTGTGTCTGTTCTGGTGTTTCAGATGCCCTTATAGTAGATGACGATCAGATTGCTCAATGAGTCTGTGTTGAGTTTCTTCAGCTGTTTCCGCGGCTCTTAAGGCGGCCTGACGTTCCGCTTGTTCGAATAGCCTTTGCTGACTTTTAACAGGTGTTTCAGTAGCTCTTAAAGTAGATTGACGAACTGCCTGTTTAAGACGCCTATGCTGACTTTGACCAGGTGTTTCAGTAGCTCTTAAAGTAGCTTGACGCTCTGCCTGTTCAAGACGCCTTTGCTGACTTTGAGCAGGTATTTCAGTAACTTGACGCTCTGTCTGTTCAAGTCGCCTTCGCTGACTGAGAAGGTGTTTCAGAAGCTCTTAAAGTAGCTTGACGCTCTGCTTGTTCAAGACGCCTTTCCTGACTTTGAGAAGGTGTTTCGGAAGCTCTTAAAGCAGCCTGACGCTCTGTCTGTTCAAGACGCCTTTGCTAACGTTGAGACGGTATCTCAGATGCTCTAAAAGCAGCCTGACGCTCTGCTTATTCTTGCCTTCTCAGTTCAACATCTTCTAAAGATTCTAGCGATCGAGCTAATCTTTTCACTTGTCTTTGAGAAGATACTCTTGTAAGGCTGGACTTACGTTTGCGAGGCATTATGAAGTAACGAAAAACCTATTTATAAAAAAACAAAAATATCTAAAAGGAATAAATATTCCTTTTAAATATTTTTTAAAATCAGAACAACAAAACCAATTCAAGACACAACACGAATCCGAAAACGTTAGCCAAAAAAAAAATCGAATCAACTTAAACCAAATCACAAAACAAATCGCAGAAAACCGAAATCGAAAGCAGTAATCAATATAAATATAACCAACGAAAAAAGAAGTAAGTGTATAGGTACCGTATACACTATCTATACTATTAATATTCCTTTGAAATATTGTTAAACAACACACAAATATCACAAAGCAAATAACAAATAACTGAAATCGAAAGCATGTAGTCGAATAAGCTACGAAATAGAAACAATTTAAGCGTATAGGTACCGTATGCACTATAAGTTGACGCGCGGCTCAACGGCGGGAGTCAAGTACATGTCAGGAAACATTTCGTTACCGCGTTTTAAAAACCTAGTAACGACATCTAGCGGAATCAATTTAAACTATGTATACGTTAGTTAATAAGAACTCTCAAAAAATATTTATCTTATAATTTTGCACAATTTTTCTTATTGTAATACCGATTCATTCATAACCACATATAAGAACTGTATTCATTTACGTTCAATAAATATTACTAAGGCTTACTGTTTCTACCACAGTTAAGTTAATAGTTAAGGGTGAAAGCGTGACAGGTGGTGATAGTTTTTCTGATCCATACTTATAATCACGCCTGTAACCCTTGCGGTGTAGGCAGAGCATCAATGGATTACTTAATATCGTCTGCGAGGTTATCGCCTATTTTGTGAATTACAATGCACCAAAATGTTTGAAGAAAATCAGCTGGTGAATTTTATGTTTTTTATCGCTCTCTTCCCGGTCCTGCATGGAAAAATACAGATCCATACATTTTTTTTTATCTTAATTTTGGTAAAAAGACATAATCAGATATTCTGACCTTCTGTGTTCGTCCGTCGTACCGTCGTCCGTCTTGTAAAATCACGGTGGCGCCACCTAGCTGAATTTAATTTTGCAACATATTCGATTTTCCCACGGGAATGATATGTTTTTCCGCTGAAAAAAATAGCCTATGTCACTCTACAGCCACCGAACTATCCCCATACAAAAAATCATGCCATGCCGACGCTCTGTTGTGACGTGAAAGGATAAACTTGTGCCACATATTCGATTTTCCCACGGGAATGAGATGTTTTTCCGCGGAAAAAAGTAGCCTATGTCACTCTACAGCCACCGAACTATCCCCATACAAAAAATCATGCCATGCCGACGCTTTTTTGCGACGTGAAAGAAGGACAAACAAACAAATAAATACACTTTCGCATTTATAATATTAGTATGGATTTTACGTACACTTATTTAAAGAAATAAAATATTTTGTATTTGTAATTGCTGTTTTGTCTCAAGACGACATACGTGATTTTATTGTTAATAACTTTTTTTGACGTTAATGTATAAAGAAGTGTAATACACTGTTAGAAAGCTAATTAAATACAGTGTTTAATGATGTTATTGTTTTTTTTTTAATTTTATTTAAAATATATACTTAAATTCACGAAGAAACGTGTGGTTTTTTTTCCGGGACTTGTTGAACCTCTCTTTTTTCTTACATAATTACAGTCAGCTCAATAAAGCTTGCAAATTTTTACAAATCTCATAAAGTATTTCATACTCTTAATACCGATATCAATATTTAAGTCGGTAAGTGCCAGGTTTATTGTAAAATTAATTACTTTATTTACATTTTTAATATTGTATAACAGGTAGTCGCTAACACTTTCGATATCGATAGTACGCAAGATGACACAAGTATGTGCGCAGGCGACGGGACACAGGGAGACACTACGTGGGGATAGCGCGTCGCCCGTTGTTATGGTTTCGCTTCCCCGTACCTCATACCGCACCGCACTGATACCTGTTTTACGCTTCTACGTAGTTTCATCACTCGTGGCGCAACCTATAACCATGTATAATGTACATAATACCTATGTCAAAGGATTTTTTATACTTCTTTAAAAACCAAAATAGTTGACGACACAACTTTAACAGACATTATGAGTAAAATAAAAGAAAAGATTTTTGATGCATAGTTTATTCTACAATATTTTCACTTGCAACATTTGGTTAAATGGTGAACAACAAATTAATCTCTATTATATTACAGTAATATTTGCTTAAATTATATTAACAGTAATTTTCGTTACTCTATAGTTAAACAATTCTCAAACAATACATTATACAATTTATTACTGCTATATTTTTACGATATAATCACATTCTTAGTGTCAAATGGATGGTCACAGTTGGCATTTCCCCTGCAAGCCAACAATCGGGCCAGTGTTAGCTGGTACCAATGTTTAATCGAAGGCAAAATTTCGTTCGCGATGTTGTTCAATTCGTACGGATCTTTTGTCAAATCGTACATTTCTATGAAATTCTGAAACAGATAAGTAGGCGTTAGATTTTTGAGCTTAAAAATTCACTAAACTTTCTCATTGCTAGCAAGTATTTAACCATTGTCAAATCATTCCTAGAAAAAAACGCCGAACAACGTTACAAATATTATATATTATTTAAAGATAGAAAACATTTATTTATTTATATTGTATACATCACAGGGGAAAAAACAAGAGGGTAGTTTCAGGATAATATAGTAGACAATCTTTAACGTCGCCGCCAGTTACCCTACGACAACGAAAACTGCATAATGTACGTCAGATATTTTTTTATAGAATAAGTGACAAACGAGCACATAGTCCAATCTGATGGTAAGCGAATGCTGTGGCCCATAGACGTCTTCATTTATCCTCGATTAAGAATCAAAACGCATATGCGTTGTCATCCGTGAGGATTAAGATGCCTCGTTTCCAGTAAAAAGTTAGCTGCTATTTTACGCTGGTATTCTGTGAGAGCGTGGTCCTTCCCCGGTCGAGCTGACCCATTCGTGCTACAATCATAATATAGCTGCAGCGTGGCTCTACCACGAATAGAAATTTTAGTTTTCTGATATCCGTTTGCGTATCATGAATTCAGTTTCCAAACTCCGTCAGTGGTAGAGCACATATTCGTTATTTCCTATTTGGAATTTGTATTGCCGGGGCATATAGTGATTTAGTGAAGTAATTACAACATTGTCGACGACAAGATCCCAAGGAATCCCTTAGAGAAAAATTTAAATAATATTCACTTTGGTACCAGCATATTTACGAAATTTTAATGATTTATTAAAAATAGTGATGTACATTCTGTAAATACTAGGAAAAAGCACAAGTTATGTCAGTTAATCATGGAGCAACATGGGCCACCGGCGGAACGGAGGGGAGTACCCATAGCGTTTTTTTTCGATACAAAGCTGCTGCATTTTTTTTGGGGGACGGGGGGAACTCGGTCTATCACTACGAATCTCTTACATGTTAATTAACACAAGCTATAAAATTCACACACACACACACACACACACACACGCACGCGAGCACGCACACGACGCACACACATATATTATAGCAGTATCGCTCGGTAACATCGACAACTCGGAAACAGACTCAGATCACTCGCTCTCGACCGATCTGCATATGCGATGATGGCGAGCGGCCTGTCTTGATCTCAAATCCGAAACACCATGACCGTTATTTTTGTAATTTTTAAGTATAAAAAGAAGTAAATTACAATAATGTAATTATAAATTATTTATATATGAAACATAGGTACGTAGTACGTACATAGGCTATTTACGGTTATGTAACTGAGCACTTACTCTAAGTTTTATTTTTTGCTGTACCTGACAAAGTACCTTACTTAATTATATAAATATTAAATAAGGTACTTAATGTGTATGTAATGAATTAAAGATATTCTACATGTGAATAGAATATTTTTTATTATTAATTTCCCCATATATTGGCTCAACATGTGTAAGAATATGCATGTCGTAAGAGGTGACAGAGGCAAACAAACGAGGAGATCGGTAGCAGCATCATTCTAGTGGCAACTAGAAAAGAAATACTAAAAAAATGACTACAAAAAATATGACGACGAAGCCGGAAGGTAGGCAGTTCATTGGGATTATTCTCGTGACCGTAAACACCACTGAAAAGTCACAGGGAAGCAAAATACGCAATTTCGTTTACTTAAATGGCATATTTTTTCAGTTATTTTGATTTAAAAGCCAAACAACAGTTTTTGATAAAATTTCTATAGGACCAATCTGAAAGTACATCCTATCAAATAAAAAAATAATTTTACGAATCGGTCGATGAATGACGGAGTTTTGAGGTAACAAATATTTTTTGAAGTCTGTTAAAATAAAAAATTGCGGTTGCAAACCTACCAGCCAAGTGTGGCAACAATGGCAAATACCCCCATTTTGCTGCGGTTTAATGCATGCATTTATTCAGCGGTGGATTTTGACAGGCTGCTGTGATGATGACGATTATGACAATTTTTATTCAATATAGATTATAAAAATATACTTAAATTATAATATTTAAACTTATACTTTTACCACCAGTTCGAAAAAGTGTGATAAAAAGCTCTGTCCTGGAAAAAAGACAGCAAAAACCTAATGGAACTTTTCTATATTATAATACTAGCGACCCTGGCTTTGCCTAGAAAGGATCTCTTAATGGGGTGTTAATTATATTTAGGATAATCAATGACCATTTTTGTTTCATCTATTATTCATTAAAAAATCACCAAGTTTTTCAGATAAAATATGTCCCAGACATAAAATACTATAATACATATATAATAGAACGGGGGAGTGGACGGAGCCCGTGTAGCCACTAACATGTCAAATCACACCTATAAATGTCAACACAATCAATCGTGTCCAATTTTCGTATCAAGCGTCGCTGCATACAAATTAATTAAAAAAGGGCTAATTGTGCAATAATTACGTGTCGAAATAACAGCGGGAAATGGAAGTTAAATAAAGGAGACATCCTACAACCACTAAGTCGAAACTTTTTTTTTAATTTGTGAATATTAGGAACAAAAATAAATTATATTGATGTGTCAAAACATTAATCAAAATTTTAAAATGTGTACATTCGCTCAGTCTGTCAACACAGCAAATCGGGTTTGTAGTAGTGATAATACGACGTAATTACTTCTATGTGTGCTCCCGGCGACGCCGATCCTCGTACAAAATAAGGTTGACAGCCATTCTATTGTGTATTATAGTATTCTATGGTCCCAGATCACTCTTAGTATTGCTCTCTATCTGCTCGTGAAGTTTTATTACAATCAGACAACAAAAAGAACAGACAGACAAACAGGAATTTTAAAAATGGTCATTCATGTCTTAATGGCATGCAAATAATTCTTCTAGCTTAATATATAGCCATTATTTCGAGATGATTATGTTATCATTAATTATAAGTATCTGTGGCACCACATGTTACTTTATGCTATAGTTATAAAACAAAGGTAATGTTGCAAAATGTCATGAAAAATGTAAGCAGTATTAGGACCTACCTCATTATCAGCGAACATACAGTACTTCATATTGATGCTTTTCGTAATGCGCCTAATACATCCATAAGTGTTATTCCTTGAGTCTTGACATTTACATTCATAATCCGGGTAACATTGCTGTAAGGAAATAGTGATTGTACGTTGAAGTTTCTTTATTATACCGGGTGTATTTTTTACGATAAGGAATAAAATGGGGTGTTATAGATTAACGAATTAGAAGCTGATAAGATATTTTTTAATATTGTTCTTTCATTGACATTTTATCAAAGTTGTCTATCAATACATACAAAAAATGAAAATTATACCTTTTACCTAACGCCCGGTTCCACAAAGGCATTACAAATACATAGATACTTACAAAACGTAAAGTAGGATACACATACACATGTAAGGGTACACATGATGAACACTTTTTCATTTTTCAAAATTAAAAATTCTAATTCGTTCGCTCATTAGGCCTTATTTATTTCTTTGCATGACTTTGCTAGATGGCAGTATATTTACTATACAGGGTTATTTTTCAAAGAGTAACCGAATTTTAAATTTAAGTTCAAATATATAATTATATAATGATATACTATTTTGCAGTTTTCGTCAGTCAGTAAACAAGGCAGTCAGTAAACAAGGCTTCTACTTTTATTTGAAACTATCTCAAATTGAATGTGATTTATGGGCAACAACGTTTTTGCCTTACGATCGACCTTTACAAATGTGTACGTGCGCAGTCAAATCAGTTAATATAATGCATTACATTTTGAATTTAAAAGAAAAAAAGGACAGAATGTTTGAGATCTTTTTGATTAAGTTTTCTTCACCATTTGCCTATATTACTTAATCCGAACCTTCTATGCAAATTTTGCCGGTTATTGCAAAATAACCTTGTATAGTTTTACGTGAAAAGAACACTATCACTTTTTAAGCATATAAGCGTGCACGGATCTGCGTGAAATTTGGCATAGGTTAAGTTTATATCGAGAAGGAGTAAAGAAAGCTAAAATTATTGTATATTATTTGTTAAAAATTCATTAAATTAAACAAAATAAAATAAAGCATTCATTATTACGTTCATACAGTTAATATTAATCTATCAGTTGCACAGAGTAGTGATTATCGCCCATAGAGTAAAATTTACTTATTTACTTAAGTTTGTTGCCAAAGAATTTTTTAATATTGCTAGCAAATAATAATTAACAGATCTACTGAATGAGATGTGAATTAAGTGTCATTTGTATATCGTCTTCTTGTTCAATAGGCTGTGGGGCGTATATAAAGGCATCATTTGTTTTACATTTTGATTAAAACTACTTTTATGGATTTTATCGCGTTTAATTTTAATTCCCGACGTTTCGGGTGCTTTTCAGCACTCATGGTCACGGGGGACTGAGGTGACTGACGTTCCGATGTCAAAGTTAACCCGGAGTACCTTCACCTTTTTAATTATTGTTTATGGTCCGATCTATGCAGAATGAACTTACTCTGTCTTGAAGTCTTGCAGTGGTATGCTTGGGTTTAGTTTTAATTTTATTAATTACAGGATTCCAAGCAGGTGGTAGTACCCAGCCTCCTTCTCTATTAAAATTAGGATGTTTTTTTAATTTCAATAGCCTCACGTATCATCATTGGTAAGAATCGATATTCTTTCGCGAGGATTTGTGGTTTATCAATGTGTAGTGTTCGCGTTAATATAAGAAATCATTTTGTTTTACATTTTGTTTAAGTATATTAACTTCAGCAGTGGACTTCGATAGGCTGCAATGAATGAAAAATTAATGAGTATAGAAATAAATGCCAATTACTTACAGCAAGATTTTCGTCATCGTAATTCCATAGACATTTCGGATCCACTGTCCCATCTCTCGCTTCGCCATAGTATTCCACAAGGAAAGTTCTTTCCTCCCTTGTTATATCATTATTGAAATCTATAGCTTTCCCATCCATTGTTTTGGGAGGTTTCAAGCCCGCCAAACTGATTATAGTTGGCGCCAAATCAATGTTAACGATCGGCTGATCGTTTTTGACGTTTTCTTGGAAACCCGGCCCCTTTATTATTAAAGGCACTTTTATATCCGTCTCGTAGGGTTGTCTTTTATCGTATACTTGGGAAAACTGACCTGATAAGTTTGAAATAATAATGTTATAATAATCTGACAACAGTCTTTTCTTAGTAAACGTAGAAACTAGTAATAATTATTATTTTATAAAAAAAATTATATCTTTTTTTATAGGATAGGATGACAAACGAGCACACGGTCCACCTGATGGTAAGTGGTTGCTGCGGCCCATAGACATCTGCATCTATCCTCGATTACAAATCAAAATGCTGATGCGTTGTAACCCGTGAGGACTAAGATGGAATGCCTCGTGTCCAGTAAAAAGGGTTTCTGGTTCTCTACACTCACCATACGAAACACAGCAAGCAGCATTAAGCTACTATTTCACGCTGGTATTCTGTGAGAGCGTGGTCCTTCCCCGGTCGAGCCGATCCATTCGTGCTACAACTACACTACTAATATAACTTCAGCATGGTTCTACCACGTATAAATCCTTACCAGTTGTTCAATTTATGTAAATTCAATGAAAAAAAAACTGAAATGAAAATAAACTGAACCAACACAGAACAACACACAAGTGAAACAAAACTCGAGCGGTTTTTTAGCTAGTTTTGTTTTATCAAGGACGGCATAATTGAACCTATTATGTTACCTTGTTCTGTGATAAATTAGATGGCATCCGATAGGTAACGAATCTACAATTATGTTTTTATAAAAGTTAAAGTTACGACCTATATACGTCCCACTGCTGGGAACCGACCTCCTCTCATTTCTGAGACGGGTTTAAGACAAGGAACTGTCCGCCGCGCTGCCCCAATGCGTGTTGGCGAACTTCTCATGTCTTTGATTATTTCTCCTTATTTCTCAGACATACTGGTTTCCTCACGATGTTTTCCTTCACCGCCGAGCACGTGGTAACTCAACACTTAAAATCGCAATTAACAATTTTATTGGAGCCGGTGGGAATCGAAACCGGGTTGCTCGCGTACTGTGTAGGGTCACCCGAGGCAACTGTGTCAGTGGGGCAAGTGTAACAAATGCAAATTATGCGGCCTAAACACGGTTTTTGTTTTAATTCCATCTATTAAACAAAACAGGAAATTTTACGCTATTGACTAAACTGATAGTTAAGTACATAGCTTGAACTATTTTATCAACAGACATTATTTCTAAAAACTACTCAACTGGCGACAGACAGCGCAATTTTAACAGTTGAAGTTATTAAGTGTTTAGATATGTCGTTAACTTATTTTAAACCAGATACAAGGTGAGTGATAAAGAGTAATATTGGTACTTATAGAGTTAGCGGTCAGCCACCGTAGAGTCTACATCACCTGAGGATGCCTCGTGTAGAGGCGAAACACGTGTCGTATTATCGTCGATGGTGTCTCTTACCTAGAATAGTGGTGTTGGATTTAGTGGTGCCGGGAGTAATGGTGTTGGGTGTAGTGGTTCTGGGACTAGTGGTGACGGAGTTAGTGCATGCAATTGAGGGAGGGCGGGAGGTGCTCTTCAATCCAGGTAAGACACATCATTGTATTTAGTTAGCGGAAGGTTGCGAAGTAATTAATATTTTTACTTATAGAGTAGTATGTTTCGGCGACCTGAAATTTACCATTCTTTGAAATATGGATACAGTTACACTTACCTTACTTAATACCTACCTAACATGGGGTAAGTGTGACAGTGTCACGTTTATTATGATTATATTATTATAAATTGTTGACGTTCTGAAGTAAATTTTATTTTGCATTTGGCATTGCTTTTATTATACTACAAAACATCCAGAGCTAGTGTAGTAAATCTATTTAAAGGCACACCACTATATCGGTTAAAAACAGTCACACTTTTGCTACACAAAAATTGACGTTCAAATCGTTTCCATAGATCATAAAATATATCGAAGTTAGTATCAACTCATAAATTTTGTTGAAAACCACACATATAAGTAGTTACTACAAAAAGAAGCGTACTGTCACACTTGCCTCACTGATGGGTAAGTGTAACAGTCTTCCACCTCAATTAGTTTTAATTACCTCGAATTACTAAATGCTACTTGTAGATACTAAAATGCTTGATCAAACATACAATACAATACAACCACTTTATAATTGATGTTATGAAACTGAATTTTCTATATTAAATCTTTACAGAGTAGAAGTATTTAAATGTCGATTATAGTTTTAATTAATTTATGTCACACTTGCCCCAGGTGACCTTACTAAATTTAGATGGAGCGCTAGACATCTGAGCTACTACGGCTACTACGATATTTCGTTTTTATATCAGACATGGAATATAAATGCGACGGGAAAGATAAAGGTGCAAAACGTGTATCGAGCGACAGCCCGCCTGCCGAGAATGGTAATTACGGCCTTTCTACTTTGGGAGAAGATAGGTAATGGGCTTTAGATTTTCATCATCAGATGAACTGTTAGATCCTAAGTCACTTCGATGTTGTGTGGTTGGTATAGTGTTACAAAGTAGCGGTAATAGGTTACGAGTTCAATTATGGATAAGGTATAGGTGTGAGAGAGGGTCAGGTAAGTTACCTACTCAAATAGACGTCTGGACAGAGAGAAAGTCCTACTGCCGCAGACCAATAAAAAGCCATGCTGCATATATACGTGGTAGAGTCATGCTGCAGCTATATTATAGTTTCAGCACAAATGAGTTTTCTCGACTTTCGAAGGACCTCTTCTCACAGATTGCCAACTTGAAAAAGCAGGTTAATACATGTAGTCAGTGTAGAGAACATTCTATCTTAGTCCTCCAGAATCAGTCTCCAGAATTCCTCATTCTACCTTAGGACTAAGATAGAACGAGGCATTCTATTTTAGTCCTCAGGGGTGACAACGCTGGCAATCTTTATTTTGATTTTAAATCGGGGATAGATGCATGCAGATAGAAGTCTATGGGCCACAGCATTCACTTAACATCTAGTGGACTGTGTGCGCATTGGTTTATATGAAGTTATGTGTTTTCAATTTACAGTAATTAGGTCAAAAGTTGAATATAGTTTTAAAAGAACTTGAATAAAGATTAATAATTAATTATGAAAATTATCATTTATCAATAAAGCAACTCGAACGAGTAGCTTAGTAGTAGTGATGAACGGGCGAACACTCATACGACGAGATCGGATGTAATGGATAATCAAAATATAATCAAATCCGAGCCTTTTTAAAGATTAATTTTTTACCGATTTATAAATAAAAAAGGGCCTAAGATGTCTTTTGCGACTTTTGGCAATCTCAACCGTTTGCGGTGTATTTATTTATTTATTTTTAGTCTTTAGTGCATTCCTTGTTACAAAACTAACGAGGAGGGCGGAATTGGTCACCTTGAGGCAATCTTCACCAGTCAACCCACGGAGTGGTAATATCATCTCCCAATACTAATAATAAATTTGGTAACGGATCTACGGTGGGATATCCATTCGAACATATCAAGCTCGGGTAGAGCTGCGAGCCGTGGTAGCTCAGATGGTTAACGCTCGCTGTAAATATAACAGAACGCGAGTAACCCGGGTTCGATCCCTGCCGGCACCAATGAAATTGTTAATTGCAATTTTAAGTGCTGATTTACCACGTGCTCGGCGGTGAAGGAAAACATCGTGAGGAAACCTGCATGTCTGAGGAATAAGGAAAAAAATATTTCGAAGACATGTGGAGTTCGCCAACACGCATTGGGGTAGCGTGGCAGACACTTCCTTGCCCTAAAACCCACTCAGAAACGAGGGGAGGCCTGTGCCCAGCAGTGGGACGTATATAGGCTGTAACTTTAACTTTTTTTATATCAAGCTCAAATCTGCAGAATGATGACGTGTAGCAGAATTAGCTACCAGTAAACGCGCTTATCAACTAAATTAATTATCTGTTGGATAGGTCTATGCACCATTACCAATCACAGCTTATCAAAAGAGGGATATTTGCCATAGTTGCCACGCTTAGTTATAATTAGGAAGACGTTACTGCTCATCTCCTAGTTTGTGTCCCCCTGTCTCGTCTTACGACACTCACGGGAGTATATGAACTCGTGGATATTCTTACATCCACTACAAAGGCAGTGATATCCAGTAATGGGTTAAATAAAACTGATGAACCGAAGAATGATAAACAAAATATACCTATATGATATCCGTTATCCGAAGTAAAGATAATGTATGTGTTATCTAGCAGAGAGTTGCTGTCCAAAGCTTCGACGACATCCGCCACCATTTCATCGACGGCGAGCAAAGATTCCCAACGTGATCGATAGACGCGGTCTAGTTCTGGCATCATTACTTCCGGCAGAGGGGAAGGCGGCATTGAAATGAGCCAATGTTTGTCCTGAAAAACATTAATAGGTTTTTTTGAAGTGGAAACTTCTTTAGTAGCGTTGTAAACTTTTTTGTAATGGGTAAAAAATGTTAAACTCGCGTCAGGACACGTGACCCGTAGTAAGTGTAAGTAGATCTCCCGCCGGGCAAGGTGTTCTGCCCGGGGAGCGGCCAACACTCCGTGTGATAGTTCGGAGATGTTCTATATATACTGATTATGATTCGGAACGTTGATAGCGCGATTTAGGCTTCGGTGTGTTTCGCTAGTAATGCGACGATAGCGCCGCTAAAGTAGCGTTAGAGAATTCATCACGCCGTTTCATCCCGTGAGTATCATGGAAAATGACTGAAGGACGTTAAGATGTTACCCCTAATGGCGAAGATAGTCTCGTGTATGCTAAATGTAAAATATTAACACCAAAGAGTGATACCAGAGCCAGAATAATTATTCAAAGAGTATTATGACAACCCCATGAAAAGCAGTTGACAGCTGGTTACATACAGATGAAAAAGAAGTACTTACGTTATCAGCTACATTAAAGTTCGGATGTCTGACAGCGGTCACGTTGCTGAAGACGCCCTTATGTCGGGGCGCGGGATCAAAAGGCTGATGGGGAGCTGGAGGGGCGAGGACCATTAGAAACGGTTGCGATTGTGTTTGATTTTCTATATAGCCGATGCTAAGGTCTCTCTGAAATATGTAAAAAAAAAAAGTTTAAAATCATTACTCCTTATAGTTGAAAATAAATAAAAATGTAGATTTTTACTAACGTTACTTCCGCGCTATATAGCTACCAAATTGTTTCAAAAATAAATCGGAAAATAATTTTATTTATTTATTTATTTACACTTTACTGCACCTTAATAAAAAGGATTAGAAAGGGCGAACTTAATGCCTTTAGGCATTCTCTCCCAGTCAACCCGGGACCTGTGGTAAATAATGTGAAAGGTGACAAAATAAAATGAACAATAGAGTAAATCAGGGAAAAAAACTACTGATAAACTTAAAAACAGACTAATATTATATTATATACATATCAATATATAGATATATAAATATATATTATGATATATATATATATATATATATATATATATATATATATATATATATATATATTTCTAACGTCATCGGGCAAGGAGTTCCAGAGCAGTGCAGCCTGAACATAGAACATATTATAGTAGTCTATGATGGTGAAGGATTTACCAAGAAAATTAGTAAAATGTAGTGGGATACTAAGGTTACGATTTTTTCAATTATTATAATAAATATTTTAGGACGCTAGACAATGCATTCAACTTTACGGATATTCACTTTGGTATTATCACCAATGAGTGAAACTTACATAATAATTTTATCACAGTTAATATTTGGTAAAAATGGAATGGAAAATTTGGAAAAATAGTAGTGGCTAAAATAGTTAACAATTTTTCTTTATAGAATAAGGGTAGCACACATTGCCCCTGATAGTAAGTGGATGCTGAGGTGTATAGAAATCTACATCTATCCTTGATAAAGACACAAAATGAAGATGCGTTGTCAGACCTAAGAATTAAGACTGAATGCCTCGTTTCCAGTAAAAGGGGTTTTCGGTTTACCAAAATCACTCTCTTCTCTACTCTCATCTCTTCCACTATTAGTATAGTTACTCATTTCACAATATAGACGCTAACTAAGAACGGATTTTATGATAATTACTGGCAAAGCGAGCGGGCACCAGCTAGTACGATATATGTCATACAATAAAGTATGCAGTAAAGTAAAAAATATTACTAAAGAAAATATTTAGCTGTATACTTTATTTATCCTTACTATGATATCAGTGAGGTAGAGATCGGTGGAGTACGTTGGGACGCCGTTATTGGACAACGTGAAGTTGTAATAAACAGAGTTTCCGACCAGACCGTACCATTCCTTCCAGCCGGGAGGAACTTGCTCAGGACCACCAGCTGCCTTTACGCCATACTGTAAAAATAAAATTATATTCCTTTCCATAAACTTTTTACTTCTGGGCATAGCTTTTCTTGCTTTCTTTTTATTGTGAAATAGGAGTGAAAAGTGTCCACACTTCCTCTCATAGATTTCTTACATAATATATGGGTTTGCCGCGCTGGACTAGAACACAGTGCGTGGTGGGTGGTGGCAAACTCCATATTTTTTTTTAATTCAATACAATATTGTCTTAAGGAGGGATATTTGCCACGATTGTCAGGTAGTTTGGCAAGTGCAGCATTTTTATTATTATTGAAATGTTTTCAGGAAAATGCTACTGTCCATCTCCTGTTAAGTTTCTCTCTGCTGCCTCTTATGACACTCATTGGATAATAATATGAAGCAGTGGATTCTCTTAAGGCTGATTTACACAGGGCCAGTAACAGGCGCCAGTGCTGCCGCCGAGAATTGATTCGCACTGTTTACATCTTAGAGCATACATTACATGGAGGGAGCACTGTGTGAGCAGAAAGCGTGATCGGTGCTCTAAGGTTTAGGTAGAGTCTGTCTCTCTCGCACATGCTTCTGATTGGCTGGCGTGTTTTCCACCGTTGCATCGCGCGAGCGCATGCCCAATGAAACAGCCAATGACAGTGACTGTGCGAGAGAGACAGACTCTACCTAAACTCAGTCTCTCTCTCTCTCTACGCCGATCACGCTTTCTGCTCACACAGTGCTCCCTCCATGTAATGTATGCTCTAAGGTTTACATGCAGTCAGTAGTCGTGGTAACTTCTTTAGGGTATACGTACGTCATTGAAGTCAGCGGGCAAAAATTAATTCACAGAAACGGCAGAATTTATAACAATTGAAATATTTGTTGATAATATGTTGCTATCTGCTGTTGAAAGAGTTGACGGAAATGTTAGAAGAGATATCTAAAAAGAAACGACTTTAGTATTTTATCTATCTGAAAATAATACGTTGACCTTATGGCTTTAATTTTATTTTTAACTTCGGTAGGGCTTCGTCCTTCTATATTAATTTGCTGAGAAATGTTTGCAATGCTTTTGAACACGTAACTTTTGAACGTAACCCATATACATTCATTTTCGCAATAAAACTGAACGAATCTTAAATTTTTGTTGTTCACTGAAATTCAGCGCTGTGTCGTCCTCCACCGACGCTGAGTGGGGACCAATTTCCGACACCGAAGTACAATTACACTCCTAGCACTGATTTCAAAAATAGTTATAGTAGTTAAAATTATAAGTAAGCTATATTTATAATATTACTACCTTATAATTTGTGTTGTGTTCTGTGTCGGAATAAAGATTTGTCTATTGTCTAAATTAAAAAAGTTTATTATTTAAACCACTAACTACAAGGCTTGAGTGAAAAGTTGCTTAAACTGCTATCCCAAACAAAAAATTCAATCGTCATTTGTGACATTTGGTACAACTCGCAGCAGGAAAGTCTAGCGGTGAACGTTATTGCACACAATTGGCGGTACTGCGTATGATTGGCTGTGCGTATCGTTCACACTCGCTGATAGGCTCTCAAGTCGCATTCCATCTGATAAGACATCGCAGCTATCATCCTCCACGTTTCGTTCAGCGCTTGAGTTACGTGCCGCGATTTATATCTATAGGTATCTCGTTTACGCCAAACACAAAATCGTTGACGGGAAGCAGCGTCAACGGTGCGTAACGTCTGGTACTCCGATCGTCAATTCACCTGCCAAGCGTAACTCCTCCCTACAATGGGGGAGGCCCATTTCCAGTAGTCGATTTAACGAGCTGATGAAGAAATGTACGACGAACGCTCCGCCCCGCTGTACGTCCGTAAAAAACGGACACTGTGATACGATACAATATAGTTTGAAGCGCCTTCTGCTCGATAATTGAATTCTTTGATGTTGTCACAATCATAGTTAAATAATTGGAAGATACTTCATATGTATTTTTTTCTATTAGTAAAATAATATCACTTACCTGGTTTAAATACTTTCCAGCATAGAATGTATTGTACCCGGCTTCGGACAGCGTGACGGCAAATGTCTGCGCCTCCAAGGATTTCCAGGAACGGCCGTAACACCCACCACTGAGGCTATTGTTCATTATCAAGTGGTTGTGAACGTACAGCCCCGTGAGGAAACTTGCGCGACTTGGACAGCAAATTGGTGACGTTGTGTACTACAAGGATAAAGACCCCCGCTTTAATTTGTTCGCTCTTTTTTAGTGCATGGTGGTTACTAAACGAGCAATATAAAGCTATAAATATTTTTTCATCATACAATTTCGGGAAGGATTATAAGACAAGTATTACACAAGTAATTAATCTTGAAAACAAAATTAAGAAACTTGAACAAGAATTGGAAGAAGCTAACAGACAAATAGAAAAATTAAACCAAAATATAAAAAAATTACAGGGTAATGTAATATGCTCCACAACAAAAAAAGAAGCCAAAGAGTACACCGAAAATCATTCCACGTGCACCACAGACCTGACACCTTCGCAATTTCAAACAAAAATAATAGTAAAGAATGGAATAAGCTCCATGATTCCAACATACAGCACTAAGAAAAAAATATTTATCATCGCAGATCAACAGGGTCGAGGAGTTCGTCACTGCCTTCAAAACCTTATCGGAGATGAATTTTTAGTCACTTGTCTATGGAAACCAGGTGCGAAAATGTATGATCTATTATCCTCATTTAAACAGGAATTGTTGTCACTCACAAGTAAAGATTACGTCATAATTATGGGGGGAATTAATGACAAAAATCCATTTGAATTTAAGTGTAATATAGAAGTTTATTTGAATTGTTTATCAAATACAAATGTAATTATATCCGAAATTCCATATAACAAACTTTTAAATGAAAAAAAATTAAATTATGAACTGAGATATATTTGTAATCGTCATAAAAATTGTATATTTGTAGAGATGGGTTTTGATCATTTTATACCATTTAAGTCATTTTTTTTTCCACTTTTGTTTGCCGCTCGTTGCTAAAAGAGATATTACGCAATGAATATCAAATAAAAATTAACGCATACAAAATAACAAACAATCATGTAATTTCATATAATTGTATTGATTCTGACAAATTATTCGATAAATCTACGCAAACCGAAGAATGTATGTCAAACTTTACCGTTCCCATCTCTACAAAAAACACAAATCAAGCTATAACCAGCGACGGAGTAGGACCAACAAAAGATAATAATTTAACAAGTAACTCTACTTTTCGGAGTTTATTTTAATATTATGTTTCAAAATATGCAAAGTATTTGTAATAAAACTCACCTACTAGAGGCATTTATAGAGGATAGATGTAATTTTCATGTCATATGTATATCAGAGTCTTGGTTAAATAAACAAAAGAAAGATTTGTTGAAAATAGAAGGATATTCCGTAAGCTCATCTTTCTGCCGGGAGGAGCATGACGGTGGTGGAGTATGTATACTAATAAAAAACACATTAGAATATTACGAACGAATAGATATATCTTCGTTGTCCACCGAAATGATTTTTGAAATATGTGCTACTGAAATCTCTCAAATAAACTTGTTAATTATTAACCTCTACTGGCCTAATAGCAAAAGGGAAATCGAAGTATTCTATTCACGTCTAGAAAAACTCTTGAGTCTCATCTCAAAAAAAGGATTATTCTAAGAATATTATCATAGGTGGCGACTTTAACGTAGACTTCCTAACAAATAATAGCGAAAAAAATAGGCTCTCTAATTTAATGTTATCGTATAACTTCCACCAAAAGATTAAACAACCCACCAGAATTACACCAAACAGCTCCACATGCATTGATCTACTTTTTATTAATTTTAAATTAAAGGATATGAAAATAACTGTTCATGAATTTGGTTTTTCAGATCATTGTAGTTTATTAATTTCTATACCGTCTCCAATACAAAACTTAAAGCAATTTTTATTAAATAAACGAATATACAATAACTGAATTTAGTTAAATATTTAACTAAATTCAAAAATGAAATTTCTAATATAAATTTGAGATGACATACTTAAACCTAATAAAAATGTAAATGAGAATTATGACATATTTAGTGAAATTTTACAAAGAGCTTTAAATAAATGTATACCAAAAATCCAAATAAAAATAAAAAATTCTCCAAAGAAAAATTATTTAACAGTAGGATTAAAAACATCGTGTCGCTATAAAAGATTTTTAAAGTTATTGGTTTCCAAAACCAAAAATGAAAATTTTAAATATCATTATAAACAGTATTGTAAAATATTAAAAAAAGCCATCAATTTATCCAAAAAATTATGTAACAAATATAAATTTGAAAATTCTCAAAATAAAACTAAAACTATGTGGCAAATCATAAATAACGAGACTAACAAAAATTCACGAAAATATAGAAATGTTCAACTAAAAATAACAGATAAACATATATCATGTGATCCTAAAATAGTAGCGAACTTATTTAATACCTTTTATGCATCTATAGGAAATTTACACTCAAATAACTGTAATTTAAATAAAACAACTTTAACAAAATCCATCGAAAACACTCTCTTCTTAAGCCCAGTAGAAACTCATGAAATGAATACCATAATAAAAAAATCTTAAAAATAAATCATCCTACGGCATTGATGAAATGACTCCTATTTTGATTAAAAGTTGTGCTGATTTGTTAACAATCCCCTATACAATATTGGTAAATCAATCTTTTTTCAGAGGGTATCTTCCCAGATGCCCTCAAAATATCTCTAATCAAACCCTTGCATAAAAAGGGCGAAACTACTGACATAAATAATTATCGACCTATAGCTCTGTTACCTACGTCTGCTAAAATATTTGAAGCGGCTATGGCGAAACGTCTTTGTTCATTTTATGAAAAATATAATATTTTGCACGTGAACCAACATGGCTTTAGGAAAAACCACTCCACTACCTTAGCAATTTATAAATATGTAAAAAGCATCCTAGACAAAATCGACGATAAAAAAATCGCAGTAGGCCTCTCGCTCGATATGAGTAAAGCCTATGACAGAGTCTGTTATAGAACTCTATTGGAAAAACTGTATCAAACAGGAATTAGGGGAATAGCTCATAATTGGTTCAAATCCTATCTTGATAACCGCTTCCAATATGTAGAAATTGAAAATACCAACTTCGAGACAGGCAAAATTACTCATGTCAGATCGGATGCAACTCTCATTTCAGGCTCTATCCCTCAAGGTAGCGTTTTGGGTTGTATTTTGTTTCTTATTTACATTAATGATCTACCAAACATACTGGACGATCTATGCGTGCTCTTTGCAGATGACATCTCCATTTTAATCTCTTGCACTAATTCCACAGATTTAACTACAAAATTGAACTATACATTAGATAAAATTACTGGCTGGTTACAATTACATAATTTACAACTTAACCTTAATAAAACTAAAATTATTCAATTTAAACCCTACCAAAAAACTGGTTTACAAATATCGTTTAACTATAAAAATACAAAACTAGAAACTGTTAACTCTGGCACTTTGTTAGGAATAGACCTGGACACACATTTGAGTTGGAAACAGCACGTACAAAAAGTTGCAAAAAAAAATATCCTCATTTATTTATGCACTGCAACACCTTAAACGTGTGACAGATTTTAAGACTGCCCTTGCGGCTTACTATGCACATGCTCACTCCGTACTCTCCTATGGCATCATCTTGTGGGGAAACTCTTGTGATATAAACAAATTATTTATATTACAAAAGAAGTGTCTACGAATATTGATAAATTTGGACAAAATGGAGTCATGTAAACCCCACTTCATTAAAAATAAGATTTTGACACTTACATCTATCTACATCCTCGAATCTTGTAAATTTGTTAGGAAGCACCCAAAACTCTACTCACCTATTAAAAAGACTAAAAGAAATAATAGAAATTTATATAAGCTTAAGATACCCTTCTCCAAATTAAAATTAGTTTCAAACAGCCCTCACGTTATGTCAATAAAGATTTATAACCATTTACCAAATTCCATAAAAATCCTGGAAAATCCTGTGCAATTTAATAAACAATTAAAAATATTTCTTATTAATAAATGTTACTATAATTTGAATTTTTTGACGATAAATAAAGATAAAGTAAGAATACTTAGACTATTCATTGTGTTTCAAATTAAATTAATTTATATAAAATAATATTGAATGTTGATGATATGATAATTTGTAATTTATGTTTAAAAATTAGATAATACGAAAATAGTTAGCCCTCTAGTGTTGCTATGCCCTTGCGGGGCGTCACATGTATACCGATCAAAATTGTACCATCTTAAATTTGTAATGTGACATGCAATAAACAATTTGAATTTGAATTTGAAATTTGAATTTGGATTTAAGAAACTCATTAGATATTTCATACAGAATAAATGTGGCAAATGCCTTAAAAATCCAAGTGAATGCTGTGCCCCATAGACATCGTTGTCACCCCTGAGGGCTAACATGTAATGCCTTGTTTCGACAGAAAAGATTTTCTTAAATCATAGCTAAGAACACTCTCGATTAAGTAACCTTTCAAACAAACAAAAACTAAACCTATCGGCTCCATTTTAGAGCTATAATGAGCCATAGATAGACACACAGATACACACGTTTCTCTTTTTCTTCGTCGGGGGTTAAAAACTGTCAATAGGGAGGCCTGGGGTTAAACGAGCATACGGCTTCACGTAATGGTAAGTGACAACCGTCGCCCAAAAACAACTAAGTACAACACGCGAGGAATTGCAGGAGAGTTGCTGACCTTTAAAAAAAGGAATAGATTTTTTCTTGAAGGTCCCTAAGTAGAATCGGTCAAATCACTGCTGATAGCTGATTCCAAAAGGTTGTGGTGAGTGGAAGATAACTTCTGTAAAATCGCACAGCATCCAGGTGTTGATGATATCGAGGATTACGTCACTTTGTGCGATGGTGGAACTTGGAGGCTGGAATTAATCTGAACAATTGTTTAACTCTCGTGGCAAATGCATTAAAAATCCATATTCGCTCACTTTTGACATATAAAACACCTACTAAAACAAATTATTTAATTAGCAATAAATATTCCAATTCCTTCCAGCCGTTTTCCTTCTGGGAAAAGTGCGGAGAGAGAACTCTTTCACTCTCCGCGAGAAAAGGAGAGAGGGAGAGAAATTAAGCGATGGAGAAAAAAAGAGAGAGAGAGAGAGAGTAGTCTTTGGAGGTAAAAACCTCTAAAATAATATAAAACTAAATAAAAGTCCTTGTTTTCAACGATTTTTATATTAAAACGTGAGTTTTAAATTTAGAAAAAACAATAATAATCACCCATACGGACTCAACGTTGATTTTATTTTAAAGTTGATGACCTTTTCTTGCTATCACATATTTGTATCACCTACGCGTTTGAATGATAATAAATAAATAAAACTTGAGCGTCATTACGAAATTTGGGAATGTTTATGAATATTCTATGATCTTAATATTGTGTATATTGTGATGGAATATGTAGGTAGCTCTTAGAGTATACATAAAAGTATAAGTAGCTTGCTTATGTATACTCTAAGAGGTCTCTCTACTCTAAGATTATTTCATGAAGGTTAGAGAACGATCGCCGTAGAAAATAGTGTCCCAGAAATATGGACACCATCAGTGAGGCGCTGCGATCACTAAGTTCGGTCAATAAAAGTCATTTTCAGTCTATTTTTCCGATCAGATGCTAAACCACTTGCACATCCACGCACAATAAAATATTTCTCCATTTTTTAATGTTTCTTTTTGTTTACAAAATTACGGAGCATGAAAATTTTCTACGAAAAAATGAAATGAAAATTTGTACAATAATTAACTAACTTCACCTACTTGTAGGTCATAAACAGCTAACTTCGCAGTCACTACTCACCGACGTCAGCGCCGCTATGTATTCTACAATTTTCAAGGACAGGCGGGCTATGCTTTAGTACGTAGTGATCGTTCTCCTGTTCTCTAACCTTCATGGATTATTTATTTTAAGCTTGACAATTCTCTGAGATTGCGCAAGTGCAGTTTTACGATTGGAAGCACCCCATGTTTGCGTAACTATCATACATATAACTCATTAAAATTACAATATAATGTTAACAATATTCAATTTCGAGGCGATCGTATTAGTTGACTTTTGAGCAAAAACATAATAAGTACCTTGAAGCTAAGTAGTAAAATTTACTCGAAGGTAATAAGAGCTACGACAGTAATGAAAATTTTATACGTAGCAGCGCCATGCTGCAGTTATATTAGATGTATGGTTGTAACACGAATGGGTCGGCTCGACCGGGGAAGGACCGCGCTCTCACAGAATACCAGCGTGAAATAGTAGCTTAATGCTGCTGTGTTTCGTATGGTGAGTGTAGAGAACCGGAGACCCATTTTACTGGAAATGAGGCATTCCATCTTAGTGCTCAGCGGTGACAACGCATCTGCATTTTGATTCGTAATCGAGGATGGATGTGGATGTCTATGGGCCACAGCAACCACTTGCCATCAGGTGAACTGTGTGCTCGTTTGTCACCCTATCCTATATAAAATAAATGTACTGATCGCAGTTAAAATGCAGAACTCTTGGCCGATTTCGACCACGCACAAGCCACGACCAAGCACAAGGGTAGAATAATAAGTACCGTATTAAAAAAATATATTTTTCTAATACGGTACTTATTATACCACGCTTCGATTGGAGTTACGCATTCGGAACTCATTGTTGAAAATGTCTGCCACAGTACCACGTCTTATTGTAACAAACCAACATCGAAAATAAATAAAATATTAAATAATGTTAGCTGTTAGATAATGCTAATATTTGCATGTTGCATGTTGTGATCTTTGGTATTGAGGTCCATTGGAACAGATTACTTAAAATAGATTCTATAGTTTTTTTAAACAAAAATTTTTGAAATAAGTCAATGATACATAAGTATAAAGTAATTTTGCTTTATTATAATTTCACTGCCCTTACTCACTAAATGGGGAACCCAACTAGGTGAATTCTGCTCACTTTGGGTACCTACCTTTATGGTCGGTATGGTGTGTTGAGCACAACCTTTATATCAGATGTTACGATAATTATTTAGTGGATGGAGTTTACTATTTTTACATCATGATGGCGCTGGGTTGATTATATATAGTAAAATAATAATAAAAAGAAATATAGTAAGTACATTGTTTTAGTAGGTACATACGCGTTAAATCAAATCTTATATCGTGTATCGTTAGAACAAAAAGTAAACGGATAAAAGATTCTCTGTTGTGTAATGAATTAATGTCATTTGCTAGGCAGCAGAGTAAGGCTCGCCCCCCTTGTTAGACAAAACATCTTTATTTGACATCGAGTGTTTTGAGTTGAGTTCGAGTCCCAGCCATTGCCAATGTCAATGCGAAATTATTTAATCAGAAATTCCGGATTTAGAAATTTGTGCGTTGTGATTGTTCCCGTTTTTGACACTTACCCCGGGCTCCGTAAGTTCTTATCGTATGTGGTTATCGGACATAGGTGGGTTACGAGTCAGAGCCTCTCAGTTTACCACAGTGGAAAGTAACAAAAATATTAAATTCCACCAGGATCATTTTTTGCGGCTCAACCTTATAAAATTTCCATGCCCGCCGTTATATTTGGAAATTGGCATGGTCCAAATTTGTTTACTAGCAAATAAATTTTAAATAGCAGCTTACTGATGCTGTTTCGTATGGTGAGTGTAGTCCCTTTCTACTGGAAACGAGGCAGTTCATCATAGTCCTCAAGGGTGACGAACATCTGCATTTTTATTCTTAGTCGAAGAAATCACAGAATACCAGCGTAAAATAGTAGCTTAATGTTGCTGTGTTTCGTATGGTGAGTGTAGAGAACAGGACACCCTTTTTATTGGAAACGAGCATTCCATCTCAGTCCTCAGGGGTGACAATGCATCTGCATTTTGATTCGTAATCGAGAATAGATGTCTATTGGCCACAGCAACCACTTACCATCAGGTGGACTGTGTGCTCGTTTGTCACCATACATTTAGTATAAACTGACGTTATTTGTCACCCCTATAATATTAAAAAAACTAGGTTATAGGACACCCTCTTACCCATTTCTGCCGTTTGAATAGTATAGAGAAGTAGAGGACCAGTACTATAATTACAGAATGGGTCATACCATCGAGTCCTATGAGTCCTTATTTGAAAATGCTCATGGGCTGCACTCATCACTTACCATCAGTCGGACTTTCTAATTTCGTTTGTCGCTTCAATGTTACAAAGAAATAATAATAAATCAGTCAGATGAAATAAAGAAATACTTTAATTATCAGAAAATAGTTCTAACTTACGGCATTCGTAAAAGTGACGCCTTTATCACTGATGAAACGTTGCACGTTCTTCATAGGGTTCTGAAAAGAAAAAATAAAACAACAGTTCCTTACTTCACATTGTTTATTTGCTTATTTCATATCTATTGCTACTAACCATACCACCGAGTACTACGTCTTGATCGTCTGTTAAAATTACGACGAAGTTTGGTTTCTTTTCAGTTTCACAAGCTACGCTTGTAAGCATAAACGTAAATAGTAAATAAGTTATCATTTTATCTGTTCTTAAAAAATAAAAGTCCACAAAAAGGTACTTTATTGCGGCACTGCGGGCATCACTTCTAAGCCGGTGCACTCGCTAGCGATCACTATACCGACTGTGAAAAAACCCACGCTCTTCACAACTGACCTGAAAGATAACGCAAATATAAATAAAAATTAACCATCGTATGTCTTGAGTGTCGATTATCTTCAATTATTATTTTTAGCTGATGTTCAGTCAGTAAAGTACCTAATTAAAATAAAAATTATAATTCATAAATTGTAAATGAGTAATTTAGTTATGCTTCCTTTGAATACTAATTAACGACAAAATTTATACACATATATAATATATGTACAACTAACTACTAATTTTATTGGACATAATGAAAGACTTAACCTTGATATGACAGTATATGAAATCATTATTATATAAATAGACCACTTGCTTGCGTTTTAAGTGAAACAAAATATTTGAGTTATAATTTTACGAGAATCTGTTAAGGATTATGGGAATAATTAAAGATACAATAATAGGAACATAAAAAAGTGCTTTTTATTTATATCTCAAACAACAACATGAAGAGGATATAACCCCATAGGTACGGAACCTTCCTTCACAACCGACGCAGTGTTGCCATTACAATACAATATTATATTCAATATGTGTGTGTTTGTGTGCGCGTGTTTGTGTGTTTATGTGCGCGTGTGTGTTTGGGCGCGCGTGAGCGCGCGCGCGTTTGTGTGTATGTGTGTGTGTGTGTGTGTGCGCGCGTGTGTGCGTGCTTGTGTGTGGTGTGTGTGTGTGTGTGTGTGTGTGTGTGTGTGTGTGTGTGTATGTGTGTGTGTGTGTGTGTGTGTTTGTTGAGTAACAAGCAGCATTCAACCAAAGATCCTTTTTACTGGTAATGAATAATGATCCTTTTTACTGCCTCGTATGTAAATAGGGCCTCCAGTATTCTAGTCGCTAGTTTCAAGTATTGCATCTTAGTCCGCATAGTTGAAAATGCATATGTATTTGAATACATGATTGTTGATCGAAGATTTTGAGGGATGACACTACACGCGTCCTTAGGAACTACTTCAATCCTAACCCCTCGCACGTATCCCCAGGGTAGGCTCAACGAGCAGCAACACATACTGGTGGTAGATGAGTCCTCTCCTAGTGAGAGCCAGCCGAGGGTTAGTTACCACCCTCCTTGCAAAGATACACCGCTACGCAAGTCATGTTCCGGTATGATGTTAGATGAAACCTATTTTTTTTTTGGAGAATGGGTATGAACAGTTGTGTTGCCCATGAGAACAGGTTGCGGCGTGGCCACTTTTTTTTGTCAAGTGACTGGTTATGTAGGTTAGCTTGATTCGAAGCATGGTTACACTGCTGGCCTAGCGTAGATAGTTGGGGGTACAATTAAAGGCTACCCTGTGCTTCATTGGGAACCGATTTCAAGCAACTGATTTGGAAAGAATATAATATCAACATCAATGGCGAGTATATTACTCACCTTTTATTTGCCAACAATATAGTCATTATGGCAGAAAAGGTTTCACAGTACGCAAGCAACCCGGGTTTGATCCCTGTCGGCACGAATGAGATCAGTAACTTTAAGTGCTGATTTACGAGGGGTGATCCAAAAGTAATGATAATGAAAATAAAACACGGTAATTAAAGTTAAAATAATAATTTATTTTTCTACATAGTCTCCTAACAAATTATTACACAACAAACATTTAGTCCATCTTTTTTCTAAATCCAGGATTCCCTTTGAAAAAAATTCTTTGTCTTGACCCTCCCAAAACGCTTCAACAGCGGCAATTACTTCGCTATCGTCTTCGAATTTCTTGCCTCGGAGGCGTTCCTTGAGCCGAGGAAAGAGGTAGAAGTCACTAGGAGCTAGATCTGGCGAATAGGGAGGGTGTTCGAGCAGTTCGAATCCCGTTTCTTGAATGGCAGCCATCGCAACTGCGGCTTTGTGAGCCGGTGCGTTGTCTTGTGAAACCGCACTCCAGCTCGCAGTTTGCCGCGTCTTTTTTCCTTAATGGCCTCCCGTAATCTTCTTATTTGGTCTGCGTAGTAAGAGCCTGTAATAGTGGCTCCCTTTTCCAAATATTCCACCATAATTATGCCTTGAGCGTCCCAAAAAACAGATGCCATAACCTTTCCCGCCGAACTTGAAACTTTGAATTTCTTTGGCGTCGTCGGTGAGGAGGCTCGCTTCCAAGTCATCGATTGTAGTTTCGTTTCAAGATCAAAATGGTGGATCCAGGTCTCGTTCATAGTCACAAAACGGAACAAAAAATTTTCTTGATCTGCTTGGAACTTTTCGAGATTGACCCTCGAAATATCAACTCGATTTTTCTTTTGCTCGTCGGTTAACATTCTGGGTACACAATGCGCATAGACCTTTTTCATATGCAACTCGTTCGCAAGGATTCTTTGAACGCTTGCAATATGAGATCCCTGTGACCTCAGCTACATGCCTGATGGTCACTCTTCGACCTGCCAACACAACATTATCGACTTTTTTCACGTTGTCTTCAGTGAGGGACGTGGATGGGCGTGATTAGGCTGTCCTTCGCGATGTTAATCTTCAGTGCATGTTCTGCCCAGTTTAAACTTCTTGGCCCAGCGTGCAACTGTAGAATATGGAGGAGCAGAGTCCCCTAATGTTTCCACTAAGTCGCTGTGTATGTCTTTTGAAGACATTTTTTTCAAATAGAGGTACTTGATGACAGCTCTAATTTCGTTTTTCTCCATTTTGATGTTATCTCTTTGACAGTTTGTATTCAAATGAATGTATCTCCCGGAAATCGTGATCTATTTATATGATTTTTTTAGGCTGACGTAGTGAGTATATAAGCAAGCAAAAAATATTGGATTTTTATGTGGACCTGAAGTAACCGATTATCATTACTTTTGGATCACTCCTCGTACCACGTGTTTGGAAGTGAAGGAAAACATTGTAAGGAAACCTATGTTAGAGAAATAAGAAAAAAATATTTCGAAGACATGTGAAGTTCGCTAACACACATTGGGGCAGCGCAGCGAACATGAACATTTTCTTGCCCTAAAACCCTTAGAAAGGAGAGGAAACCTGTGCCTAGCAGTAGGACCTGTATAGGCTGTAACTTTAACTAACTTTTTTTTATGAATCTGAGACGCAGATGCACTGCTGACTATATAAGGAAGCTCAAAGTCGCTTATCGCGCTATGGAGAGGGCTATGCTCAGAGTTTCTCAGAGCAATAACATTGCAATGAGGATTTCCGCAATAGAACCAAAGTAACCAACCATGCAACTAATCAGAAATCTGAAGTGGCAATGGGTCAGTTGTACAGCTCGAAGAACTGACAAACCATGGGTAAGAAGGGTTCTCAAGTAGCAGCTTTGTACTGGTAAGCAAAGTGAAAGGTAGCCCTCTACTAGATAAAGTGACAACCTCTGAAGAGATGCATCAAGTTAATGGATGTAGGCCGTGGTTTGTGGTATTCCTTGTGAGAGGCATATGTCCAACAGTGAAGTCCACTGTGATGAGCTCCAATGTCAATAATGATCATAAAAGTAAAGTATATGTGGTAGAGCCACAATGGAGATATATTATGGTTGCAGCATGAATGGGGTTTCCTTGAATGGGGAAGGTACACTCTCACAGAATATCAGTGTAAAATAGCAGCTTAATGTTGCTATGTTTTGTGTAGTGAGTGTTAAGAACTGGCATTTCATCTTAGTCCACAGGGGTGATAATGTATCGGCATTTTGATTCTTAATTGAGGATAAATGTAGATGTGTATGGGCCATAGAATTTACTTACCATCAGGTGGACTGTGTGCTCATTTGTCACCCTTATTATTTAAAAAAAGAGTACAATCAGTTTAAGGCAATATGTTAATGCATTAATTACTTTCAATTTATATGTTTACTTTTTATATACTGTAGTTGTAGCATAGTTCTCTTTCTTTAATAGTTTTAAAATAATTAACATTATCGTCATTTCGTCAATCGACGGATTAAACTCCTAGGCAGTATTCGGGAAATTATGACACATCTCGTCAGGTATATCCTAAAACCTGAAAACGAGATTGTACAATCAGTGCGTGTTGCCAGTGATGACTTATGGATCTGAGACATGGTCCTTCACTACTGGCCGTACGAGGACACTCAAGGTCACACAGCAAGCTATGGAGAGGGCTATGCTCTGGATTTTTCTTCGTGATAATTTAGAAATGAGGATATCCGCAGTAGAACCAGTGACCGACATAGCCCAAAGCATTAGTAAGCTGAATAGTGGCAATGGGCCGGCCATATAGCTTGAAGAATCGACAACTGTTGGGGTAAAAAGGTTCTCGAGTGGCAGCCTCATACCGATAGGCTAAGTGTAGGGTGACTCCCACTAGATGGAGTGACGACCTGGTAAGACATGCAGGAAGTCGATGGATGTAGGTGGCTCAGGACTGTGCTTTGTGGCATTCCTTGAGGGAGGCCTATGTTCAGCAGTGGACCTGTGAAGGGCAGTGATGATGATGATGATGATGCAGGCTTCTATGATTATGTTAAAAAGAAAATGAGATCATTACAGAACTAAAATCAACCTCAAAATATGATTGGGCGATTGAATTCGGCCCATAATCACATACAACACTCTGGTGGACCAAAACTTATGAAGCTAGAGCCAGCACTATAAAAAAACTTCAGCATTACCGGAGACTGGCATGTATAGCTGATACAGGCTGCGTAAGGACTACACCAGCAGCAGCCTTAGAGGCTATGCTGGTGCTAACTCTGCTTTACCTACACATACAACAAGAAGTGACTTTAGCTGCTATTACATTCATAACCCCTAATCTTTGAAGTAAGAGTAAAGTCACTCATATAGGTATAATTGATAAAATTTACACAAAAATACCTATCTTACAAGCAAAGTACAATAAGATCCCCGAACAGTTTGTTTGATAAGAAATACATATACAATTAAATGAAACTAACCAGCCGGAGGGATCAAACCTAAAACACCTTAGTTTTCATGGATGGTTCTAAAAGTAAAAAAGGTGTAGGATCAGGACCTTTCTCAGAAGAGCTCAATATCAACATAAGTACACCACTAGGTGCCCACAACTCAGTCTTTCAGGCAGAATGTATGGGTATCATTCAAGAGGCCATAGCTATATATACTAGGAATATAGATACTAAGAAGGTAAAAGAGTTCTCCATCAGAATACTGACTGACAGTATATCAGTACTACATGCTCTGAGTTCCAATGTAGTGAACTCGGACTAATATAGTAACACAATCAATGACTAAATGAAGTATGTAAATACAACAATGTGACTCTGAAATAGATCAAGGGACACAGTAGATCCAGGAGCAATGACGCAGCTGACGAACTGGTCAAGAGAGGATTGGTTATGGCCGTTTAAGAGCTGGAATCAATCATACCTATCACTTTTGGTAACATTCTTTCACTGGTATGTAAAAAAATTACATATCAACAAGCTCAGCTTTGGAAAAATCCAGTGGATTGTAGGCAAGTTAGAGAGGCTCTGCCAGAAATAAACAATTTGTAATTGAAGTCTTAATGAGATTGAACAAGCCACAGATCAGGATAGCAACAAGTCCCATTACATGACATGGCTCCTTTAACAAAAATTATAATATATTTACTATGTGTAAATATATTCTTAACAAATTAATATATATTATATTAACATAATATTTAATGGAATAACAGATAGTCTCTTGACTAGACTGTATGGGGGAAGAGGAAACTGCGGCCCATGTGTTGCTGGCATGTTCGGAGGTACAGGGCTAAATATTTGGGCACGCTGAGATTACTCCCCAAGTTGCTCACAACATCAAAGGACTATTCAACTTCTTCGGGGAGATTTCATGGCTTGAATAATCACAATATTCCTGCGCACATGCAAAATTCACGCTGCAACTTGGAGTTGTGGAAAACAGCCCATCTTAAACTAAACTAAACCAACTATAGTTAGGTGAAAAAATTATCTAATGTAAATTTAACTTAAAAATTGTTACTATTATGATTTCTTCCAATAAAAATTTTGATTTTGATTTGTCTATTAGATTTTTTTATGCATTTGATACCCACTACGATTGAGATCAGAAGTAGCTGTCAATAAAATGTGTGGTTTCTCTTTTACTAATATACATGCATGATTTGGTGTATTTGTAATGTTATATTTTGGCATAAAACATGTTTATGTGTTTTGGGTATTGAAAGTGTTAAATGTCCTAAGTTCCCAGAAGTTATGGCAAACCTTGATCACATTATTAAGTACAATAAGCACCATAAGCTATTATGATATTTTATTCAAAATTTTAGGATATTTATTAAAAAATTAATTTAAATATGTATGTTTAAGTAGAATACAAGGATCTATAAGAACCACAAATAATGATTTGTAATTCTTCAATATATGTTTAAAAAATTCTTATAAAACTAAGATAGTGAAGAGACTGGAAACCGTTAAAAATTGATAAATACAATTTTCTTGTGTCAATCTTTGTATAAAAGGAATTATTCGTGTGTTTTACTTAGAATATTTTGGGACAGGCGAATACAAATTCATCCCAAATCCAATGTGCATATCAAAATAGCATTTCGCAAGTGCTATCATAATACTAAATAAAAAAAACAACACAAAATCTTAAAATCATAAACAATAGTTCTGACCAGCGAGTTGATGAAATGCATTTAATGCCAAATATAAATTAAAGTATGTGCGATTCGGAGCAAAATCACATTTTTTGTTGGTTATGAACAAAATATAAAGCGTACTTACCATTTAAAAGGATCGTAATAAAAGTCTTTAATTAAAGCCATAACACCGTTTTTACCCATTATATATCTTCTTTCGTGAGAATCAAATTTTAAAACTGTATTGGTTTCGCTATAAATAAGATATAAAGTATTAAACCGAAACCTCATTCAACAATTTCCAATTTCCAAGAAATTATACCACAGAGTACCTTTGTATAAACTGAATTATACCTACGTTAGTACTCTTATTAGTTTGTGGATTATACCAATCGGCAAAACGTCAAATTCTTGAAATATCATAGTAGGGATGTTCGATGAGCGTCGATGTTAAAAATTAAAACATCGATGTTTTAACATCGATTGTTAAAATTTGATAACTCTAATAACGTGTAGTTATTAGAGTTATCAAATTTTTGGATCATTAAACACTAGGTTTAGATTTGAACGCCCATATAATATTTGGTTAAGGCAACTTTTTGTTTCTTTTGGAAGGAAAGCTTTGAATTTGAACTTTTTTCAAAACGCAACAACTAAGCACTTGACATTGGTGGCACGTGCCATTCTTTATGATATTATCTATAAAATTATTAATTTTAGACGTTGCGTTCGCGCATTTATTTGCAATATTTTTGTGCATTTTGTACATTATTTTTAATTCAATCATTTATATGTACAGTGAAAATATAGTATAGTATAGTACACTAGTCGCTTATTCTTCCATACAAACGTAGTCCGGCGATTACTCCACTATTTGATGGTGTAGGTTCAAAATAAAAAATGATTTCAATTTGCTTCATCATTATCTAGCCCTGTATGGAAACAAAAAAGTAAAAAAAAAGTATGTTTAAGAGTTATAAGCGTCAAAATTTCCGAATTTCAACACTAGTTTTAACACATAAAAAGAACGAAAATTGCAAAACAGTTACCATACAGGGATAGATTAGTTGTTCAAAAATGCAAATAATTTTATTTTAAACAGATACATTCAATAGATTTTTCGTGACATCCAGACTACCAAAGGTCTGTTTATAAAATTTCGCGGGCCCGTTTTTGTTATAAATCATCTTGCTTTTCGCTACAAATTGTTTTCCCAATCAGTGGGACGGACGGAGGGGGGGGGCGCAGCGCGCACTCACACATACTAACTAGGTTAGCCGCTGCTATTTATGGTTGTAATACCTATATATCTACATCTTTATTTAGAAAAAATGCTTCCTTTTGTTCGTGTCCATTGCTGAAGCCGGGATGAATATAGCTGCTAAAATGTGCCCATAAGTTTGTTGAAGCACATTTAGTTAAAATTGAAAACAGGTAGGTACATAATAATGAACTTTCGATACAGGTAGTACATTAGGTACTTAACTACTTTAATTTGCTAACTAACGAAAACATCTCATAGATAAGCACGATTATCGAAAATCTTAAAATTATCTATTAATTTATTTAGAATAGGTAATTTTTAGATTTTCTCTGTTGATTATAATGTAATTTATGTAAGTACATAATAATCTAAGAAGGGCAGTCAATGATAAATAAAATGTGTTTTGTAAGTTGTTTTTTTTTTAAACACTTTTTTTTTTAAAACATGAAACTGAGAAGAAGCACCCGATCTGCCGAAACAAACTCAGAGAGGTCTGTCCAGGTATTACATTGGTCATGTCATACGAGAACCAGGCTAATTTAATCCTTTATTTAATCCTTTGAAGAAAGAATCATACAGATGTGAGTGGACAACTAAGTACTTTTTAGGATTCCGTACCCGAAGGGTAACCAGCAGGGCCCTATTACGGAGCCTCCGCTGTCCGTGTGTCTGTCTGTCAGCGGGCTGCATCTCATGATCCGTAATAGGTAGATGGTTGTAATTTTCACAGAACATGAATTTCTGTTGCCGCTATAACAGCAAGTGGTAAAAATAAATTTGAAATTAAAGGATTTTCTACTAGAAAAAGAAACTTGTATTTTTAGTTTTTTGATCGATAGTAATATGTATAGGTATTTATATCTTGTAATCTCGGAAGCTCGGAAGTCCAATTCGCACTTGGCAAAATATTTGTTTATATTTAACCTTACCTCAGACATACTCATATTTTTTTATATATAATTTACTATACTACTATATAAGCTACTATTAAATAAAATAGTAGTAGCTTTACTATGGTATTATTGTATATTTTGGATTAGATTTAATTTATTACAGAATAATACGAACTATATAAAAACTAAGGAGCGCATCAACCTACCTTAGATATTGGGTTATGAATACAGATAAGTATACATAGGATTTAGTTTCTAAGTTGTACCTACATATTTTATAGCCTTAGTTATGAATAGCATAAACAGGCCAAGCCCCCTAGCCTACAAACGTTTCGTAACGAATCTCTTCTACAATCGCGCCTTTTATTTGTTTGGACTGACCACCTGACTCGTTCAGTGATGCCATTCCCATACAGTGTTTGGTTTTCAACTAGCGTTATCTATCATAAAATAAATCAAAATTTTATTCATATTTTGCTAATTGTGTCTGTAATGTGAATTTGATTTACAATCGATCTCTAAATTGTAGTTTTCTTCTAATTACTTACCTTGCCTAGACGTGTTCTTTGGACTTCTGTAAGGAAGTCCGTGCTGTTAGTATTCCGTTTATATACGTTACTATTTTGATAGACGTTTATGCTTGTCCCTGCAGTGACACAATGCCTATTGTTGATAACTTTCTAAGTACTAAGAGAATATTTCAAACCGCTATTGAACACAAACAATCAATAAACAATTTACAAACTAACATTTTTTATTTATTTAATTAACCTATATAAAAGCCCCACTCACATCAAAATCGCGCTGTCGAAAAAGCAGTTATCTGACACTGGCTGACATATACTTCGGGGAGTTGCCTGTGGGCTATTATAGATAACTAGCTACTTATGGAAAGTAAATACCTATTTAGAATACATAGTACCTACAGTAATATTTGCATAACCTACAGTAAAATACAAAAACATAAAGAAAACATAATTATGTTACACTTTTTTGTGTTTGTTTTAGAAATTGTTATACTTTTTTCAAAAAAAGTTTTTTATGTTACCGTTTTTAGTTGAGAGTTATGTCCCTTTAGTGGGTACAGGCGTGATATTATATTGTGTGATTGTGTAAAGAATGCATAGATAGGCGATAGCAGCAATCGCGGTTGATTTGCTGTCATTTATTGAAGAGTGCCCCCGATTTCTCCAAGAACATATCGTGGAGTCAGTTTACAAACATAAATTGCACAAGGACAAACATCCAGACCCGAAACAACTATTTGTAGGCCATACAAATATTTGTTCCGTGCGGGATTCAAACCCGCGGTGCCCAGCGCAGCCTCATTGCTAAGCCATTGCGATACAGAGCTCAAATTGCCGTTTGAGTTTATGTTATTATTCAAAAATGAATCCCACAGGTAGGTACGCGATGACGCCGTCTCGCGTTGCATCACTAGAGTGCGTATGTGTGTGCGCACTAGCTTCTTACTGCTCATCACAGCGTCTATCCCTTTCGTACGTGATGTCGGCTGAGATAGCATGCATTTTTACCCCGCCCACCACTTAATTCGTGCCTTCGACTAGGGCAACCTTAAGTTGATTCAGACTCTTAATGATTTTTGTAAAAAGGCTCAAAATATCGCGTAAGGTCAGTGAAATATGGTCTTACTTTGATAAAAGACTATTTGCCGTTTATAAATATTGACAACACACGTTGTCCTATAAATCTACTACTGGGAACTTAAGTTCTAACTTAAGAAACTTTTTTTACTAGTACTAAGCCTAGTTAAAGATAAAGAATAATCGCCAACTTAGATAATAATTAATAAATAAACTACTTAAAATAATTTAAGTAATTCGTAAGTAAATGGAAATATAGGATTAAGTGAAAATAATGTAACTGTGTATTCTTGTTGATGAGTAATTGTAAAGTTGTTTTAGGTATCCATCATGCCTAGAAATTATAAAAAGAAGACACAAAGTCCATCATAGTATTCAACAGATATTCAATGGTCTGTCGAAGACGTAAAATGAAAACATGTAAGGCGAACATACCGGAAGGCTAGCCAATACAAAGGGATTCTATCTGCTGTCATATTTCAAAAAGGCAGACAATCAAGCCTGGATTGAATAGGTGTTGATGTATCAAACGCTCTACTACGAAAAAAAGGAAATTATAATAACATTTATTTGCAATATTTTTGTACATTTTGTACATTATTTTTAATTCAAACAATTATATGTACAGTGAAAATATAGTATAGTATAGTTTAAGTTGATTCAGACTCTTAATGATTTTTGTAAAAAAGGCTCAAAATATCGCGTAAGGTCAGTGAAATATGGTCGTACTTTGATAAAAGACTATTTGCCGTTTATAAATATTGTCAACAAACTTTATCCTATAAATCTACAACTGGGAACTTAAGTTCTAACTTAAGAAACTTTTTAATAGTACAAGCCTAGTTAAGGATAAAGAATAATCGCCAACTTAGATAATAATTAATAAATAAACTACTTAAAATAATCTAAGTAATTCGTAAGTAAATGGAAATACAGGATTAAGTGAAAATAATGTAACTGTGTATTCTTGTTGATGAGTAATTGTAAAGTTTTTTTAGGTATCCATCATGCCTAGAAATTATAAAAAGAAGAAACAAAGTCCATCATAGTCTTCAACAGATATTCAATGGTCTGTCGAAGACGTAAAACGAAAACGTGTAAGGCGAACATACCGGAAGGCTAGCCAATACAAAGGGATTCTATCTGCTGTCATATTTTAAAAAGGCAGACAATCAAGCCTGGATTGAATAGGTGTTGATGTATCAAAAGCTCTACTACGAAAAAAAGGAAATTATAATAAACGATGTAACTGATATTTCATCTGACAGTAGTATAACTAATAAAAATAATGATTTCTTATATTTACGCGAACACTATACATGATTAAAACTACTTTTACGGATTTTATCGCGTTTATTTTTACTTTTTATTTACTTTTATTTTTAATTCCCGACGTTTCGGGCGCTTTCCAGCACCCATGGTCACGGGGAACTGAGATGAGATGGAATTAAAAATAAAAGTAAATAAAAAGTAAAAATAAAAGCGATAAAATCCGTAAAAGTAGTTTTAATAATAAAAATAAAATGAAATCAAGTAAAAGATTCTTAGAAAAAATATTTGGCATACTTACGAGTCCACAGAAATATTAAAAAGGTGTAGCCTGTAGTGTCGAATTGAAAGCTAGGCTTTCAATTCTACACTAGTTTAATTAAAATAAATCTAAACCTAAATTAAATGCTCACAGATGCAAGAAAATTATAGGAAAGACGTAAAAGAACAAAAAAGTACTTGAACCAAAATAATTATAAAATTAAAGATTAAGTAAGTCAAAATAGATTAAAATATAATTATACTTTTATATGACATTTTTGTTTACTATTTCCCCCAACATTCTAATGAAATTTATTAGTTTATTTACAATAACCCTGAAATATCTTAGTTGTAATCAATTACCCCAGTATTGCTTGCACATTGTAACTGACAAGTTTTGTTTTGTTTACATCTTTGAGCATGGAAAATAGGTTTACTTCGACGCCCTGTTTCGAATAACACTTCCACCTGAAAACAAAATTTATTAATAGTGATAAATAAGCTTACGATAAAAGTCCTATTTTTATCAAAAGATTGAAAGTCAATGGGACAATTATAAACAGTCAATTTCTAAAATTTATATACTTCCCAGTGTTACTATTGTCATTGTATATTATGATTCAGTAGTAAAAGAAAACGAGGCAAAATAACAATTTTAAAATATCGTTTCATTAAATTCAGTTTTACAAAAGGTGTTCAAAGCTTCAAAGTAGCCACCATAGGTTTTAATACATACATGCTCAACGCCTTCTAATGAATAATGGCTTTATTCTCTTTCATGTCTCATTTCAGTAAGTTTTTGTGCAGCCATTTGCACACGCTCCCGTAGCTGGTCCACTGATGTAATGGGATCTTTGTAGACCTTCTTTTTGAGGCATCCGGACACACAGCCACATTTACAACAAAAAAATAAACCGGCTGACGAGTAAGAAAGCAGCCAAAATTGCCTCATTCTTCATTCTATCATACAATTGGTATTTGCTTAATAAGAGTGATTTTGAAAAATATTATGACTATGAGGAATGCATGTGTGTTACACCTCCGACTACAGGCACACACGTACATCGAACGGATAGTTCAATGGACACTTTTGACTCACCTCAACCATCGACCTCAGGCACTGCCACCATCGAATTTTTAGATTGTGCTCAAATTTCAGACTCGAGTAACAGCGATGACTGAGTCAATTTGTTTTCTACTTAAATTTTACGTAAATTATATTAAGTTATTATTTATTAAGTTTGATACTGTAAAAAAAATGTGTTCTTATCTAATTTTTGCAACTTATATGATGACCTATTATATGAACAGTAAAAATAATAAATATTCCATTAATCAAGACTACGTTTAGTTTTTTATTTAATATCAACAAAATTCTACCCAACCATCTACTTATTTTCTTCAAATATAAAATATCAGTCTTTCGTCTAAAGTATTTCCTTTTATGTATTGTTTATCTCCCCATGGTAACTTCTGTCAAGCGAAGCGTTAGAAAAAGAAAGATATTCCAGTGAGCCGCGATCGCGAACTCACGCATGCCAAAAAATCCCTGCTTCGGACGCAACCACGCGAGCCACGAGGTGAGCCGCGAATGTAGCTGAACTATTAGGTATTCAATTTAGGTATCCGTACACTGACATTGCCTACAGACTGTAGGTAAGTTGGTTGTTGGTCACTCACTGAATAAAGCAATATCAGTATTTTCGTTTCTGCCTTTTTGCAATTCATAACTAAGCAAAGAAAGTTTAAAGTACTAAAAGCGACAATTGAAGTCGAACCCGACTTAAGTATGTGTGTTTTTATCGTGTTTTACTCATTTAATATTTTCCGAATAAGGTTTCGCAAATAAAAAAAATAATTTGTTGTAATTTTCATTTATGCCCGCCAGAAATGGGGGGAAATCCATTTCTGCACGATTTAAATCATTTCTGCCCGATTAAAACCCATTGAGCAAAAAAGACAAAAACCCACCGCCCATCTCAAGGCATCCCCAGTAAAAAAGTTTAGTGGGTTTCCGGTGATCGTGGGGTCACAAAATTGTCCCTAATCGCCCGATCCATCTTCTGGGACACATTTCGTAGAGATAGTCTCGAATGCTGTGGGTGCAATGGGCGGGGGGCAACCATCGTGCTGCAGCCACATTCTTCTTCTCTCTTGCAACGAAACGTTTTCCACTAAAGTTGGGAGATCGTGTCTTAAAAATACAAATGTCTCTCTGTGGTCAATGTTCCTGGCAATTTGAATGGACTGATGATGTTGCCGTTAAGGATCCCAGCCCAAAGGTTTATTTTAAATTGATAATGGGACCTGTCTTCTTTCACCAAATGAGGGATGGTGAGCTGGTAACTGTGCAGATTGTGCATATTAAAATATTCGTCTTTTTTGTACGTGGACTCATCACTCCATAGATTTTTTTTGGAGGAATTAGGGATCATTGTTCAATTTTCTAAGCATGTTTTCACAGAATTCAACTCTTAATTACTCTTATTATGAAATGGGTGTAACTTCATTCGTTTTAATATTCTATGCATTGTTTTAGGCGATATACCTGTGTGTCTGGCTATGGTGCGCAAAGAGATTGTCGTATCAGCTGCGATTTCATCATATACTCGCTCCGCTGATACAAGTTTTAAGTATTCGGCTTTCAATAAATGCATTATGCACGCGAGTAAACATTCGATAATCGGGATAGCGTACATTAGGAAATCTTTCCCGATACAATGTTGCAGTTCAGTTGGCGTTACCACCATACACACCGTACATTAAATGTATTTGAGCATAGTCAGAACAAGGATATAGCATTGCAGTTAATAGAAAATCCAAATCACGAAGCAAATCAAGGCCGAAGTCATAGCACAAAATCGTTACACCAAATTAAAAAGTCCAAATCGCTAGTAAAAATCAAGTTCAATATCACAGCACTAATCGAAGAATTTCAATCCTAAGCAGGGTAAAATTATGTTGCATGGGAGTAGTATTTTTTAAATAAAATATTAGTAATCTTATTATATTAAATTCTTAATCTTAGTATAATAGCACACGGCCTTACAAAGGCGCTTAGTCCACAAACTACAATTATGAAAAGGATGTCTGTTACACGAGTGGGTCCCTAATTCGTCTTTCTTTTTCACTCATAGCATGATAGAGCAGGATAGATTTTACGTCAGTTTATTGTCGCTAATGTAAGTAACCAGTCTATTCCAAGAATTATTATTCTTTAAGTAGGGGAGGGGTCGTTCCTGTGAATTAAATGGGCTATGAAGAACATTGTTAAAAAAATTAAAAACAAAGTTTACATTAAACTAGGCCTTGACTAATTGTAATAGGAATTTATTTTGTATTAAACGCTGGAAATACAGTGAGTTACACTATTTTGGAAACTTATTGAAACAGACATGTTTGTTTTTTTTAACACGTTGCTTAAAAATAACTATGCATGCGCACCAAAAATCATAGTTTCCACTCGATAGCGCTTCTATCCAGAAATACTACCCAAAAAACAATTTAAAAAATTCCATCATTTGGAGTCTGGCCACCAAAAAGAGTGAAAACGAAGTAATTTTTTTAATTTTCGAAAATCTCGAAAACAACAACAATTGACAAATCTTGAAACATATTTTTCTGAACCCCACAACGTTCATCGATAACAATACTGTATGACACGGAGCGGCGGAGTACCTTTAGATTTTGTGACTTGTAGTTTTGACCACAGAGTACAACATATTTTAACATAGTAAGAATTTTCTAACACACTATATACCAGTGGTTTTTTTATACTATGTATATTCTCCGCCTACGACGTATACGTATCTATAGTTCATAAATGATAGCTTGATCTCTGCGACAGCCGTCGGTAAAAATCACGCCTATGAAGTCCTGAATTTCTTAGTAGTACAGACAGTACCTGTCAATGTCAAAAAACTTTATGGGCATGCCGACCTAATTAGTGCGTGCCCATAAAGTATGACATTGACAGATACTGTCTGTATGTCTGTACTACTAAGAAATTCAGGACTTCATAGGCGTGATTTTTACTGACAGCTGTCGCAGAGATCAAGCTATCTTTTATGAACCATAGACACCCTAGACCAGGTAACGTAACATCGCTATGTTCATGTAAAAAAAGTATCAAAGTTTTATTCAATATAATATATCGCATTATTGTATCGGTACTTTGCGATATATCGATCAATAATATCGATATATCGCTTGCAATTTCTATTTCTATGTAGAAAACAAAAACAGAACGGTTTAATATGAGTAAATAAGTAAAAAAATGTCAGAGTTAAGAAATTAATCAACTTTATTTTTATGCTTAAGGTTGCTTAAGCTTAAGCTTGCTTTGATCCGCTTGATAGATCTGGCGCCGTGGGCGAAATAATGAAACATTGTCCCACCCATTTTAGCGTTAAGCAAACCCTTGATGCAGTGGCGTCTCGGATTCATATAAACACATGTTACGGTTACAGTTTTTTAATATAATATTTAAGTGTTGTTTTTTGTTTAGCTGTTGAGTGTTTCTTTGCATTAGTTAAAAGTTTGATACGTTTTAGTGCTGTAGTTATTTAAAAATAAATGTTAAAGACGGCCTATGGCATTTTAGAACGTTTACTTTGTTTTTCAAAAAATCATATTTCGTAAATTAAAGCGACAACCATATGTTTTTTTTATTTTGAAATACAGGCCACAACTACATGTAAAAAATAAAAAAGCACTTAATTTGACCGCAATGTCCCACTAAAGGACTTGGATATTCAGTTCAATAACTTCCAGTGTGTTCTAGGCCGAGCATCAGTTCGAGGCAAACTTTGAGTATTAAACCAACTGGAGAGGCCATGCGCGTTAATCCCTAAACAAAAATTCTGTCAACATCAGGGGGGCGCAAGAGAAACACACAACTGTATACTTAACTACAAATGTAAAATTAAATCGCGCTACTATAAATGCACACTACAGCATTTGTGTTTGTGTTCATTACATTTACGCATACCATCAAATTGTCCACGTGTCGATACACAGTTGCCGCTGTCCAAATGCATAAGCAACGTAGGGCGTAGACTATGTCGATATTTTTTATCGTTAGACAAATCACCATAGTCCGCATATTATGTTTTTATTTGATTATAAGTAACGTATAGATAAATAATACCAAGGTGTTATTTGAAAATCCTTTTTTAAAATATTTAAAAATGATCTTCAGAAGAAAATAATTGAAATTATTGAAAGTAAGTTTATTATTTTAAACAGGTGTATTTTACATTATGCGGGATAAAATTTAAAACATATAATAAATCGAAATGGGTGGCTTAGCTAACTTATTTTAAAAATATAAAAATCAGATTTGTAAAAAGAAAAGTCGTATCAGTTCATCGTCTTAGATTGGGTTAACCAAGTTTTTGTTTTTATTATAAGGCTTCAATCACAAAACCGCTATTTCAAAAAAGTTGTTGATTTTCAAGAGTTATTAAATGACTATCTAAAAAATATTTAATAAATTAGGAAAATAAAGTAGTTTCACAAAATATCATAGTTGAACAACGTGAACTTTAAACAGACAGCTGCTTAAAAATAAAACGTGACATCTACCTAGGGCTAAATATTCCACAGAAAGACTGCACTGCTTTAACTTTATATACTATTCACCGAAAGCTTAACGATATTGCGAAATATCAAAAGTTTGGACATTTGTCTGCCTTCATCACTTACTGTAACAAAGTGGTATAGTACAATTGATGGCCGACTTGGCTACACAAAAAAAGCGTTAACTGTTTTAAAACCTAGTCTAGAGAGTAACTCTGACAAGAAATTGTATTGTATATTAATGATCAAAAATCAAAATAACAAAATGAAATCAAAATAAAACAATTTATGGAGTACCATACAAGTTTTAAAGACATTTGGTTATGATAATTATGGAAATGACTTCATTTCTGAAAATTCGGAGAACGCTACTGATGCTTTAGCATTTTTATTAATGGGCGTTAATACTTCTTGTAAAGTACCCATTAGGTACTTCTTAGTAAAGGGTACAAGTGCTGACCTAAAAGCAGCCCAACTATTCCGCCATGTCGAGGTTGGTTTTTGAACCATCACATGTCAACGCCTTTA